CCTAGGCCCCCTCAGACCTACAATAAACAATAGCCCCCAATGTGCGAGACAGAGGCGAGACAAAAATGCCTGTTCTTCACACCCTCCAAAACCATGCTGTATGACCTGGCTTTGTTTACAGAGTCATAAAAAAGTGGCGGACCACCCTTTGTGACACTAACAACAACATAATTAACAACATTCTTGGGCTAATAAATTTCCTCCTGGGCTAGAGGGGCTAAAAAAATTGATATTGATTAACTTAGATAAACATTATAGTCTGTCACATTATAGCTTGTCACAAAAAATGCTTTTTCACTACTTGTCTATGCTCTACAAATTGATCCGGTTTACTATATAAAAATCCTAAAATAAAAATTGTGCATACAATACAGTACAGACAGTTACAATTGCCGTCTCTTCTGTTTCTTTCCCGAGAGCTACACCCCCCGTGTCCCGATCTAGTATATGTGTGTGCCTTTTCCCAGAGTCCAAAATACACTAGACACTCCCAACAGCCATCACCTGGACACACTTGAGTGCTGCACATCAAATTCAGCAAGACTGCATGGAGCCTCAAGCCATCCGGGGTGTTTTAACTCATCTCTGGATTCCTGTCAACCCCAAGACCACACACTGTGCAGATGGGCATTACACTGCATTACTTAGGGAACACGAGCAAGGAAGGGTACATGCTCAGCCCAGTTTAGTTTTCTTTACTACTGGTGACTGAACCAGGAAGTGCTGACCTACATCGCTAGATCTTTTTAATAATTGGGTAACAGGGCTCGAACGTACTACACCACTGAGCTATATCACCATTCCCCTTTTTGTCTTTGAAACAGGGTCTCATTACACTGTCTTAGCTGCCTTTGAACTTGTGATCCTCCTGCCTCAGCCTCTCAAGTAGCTAGGATTACAGGCATATGCTGCTCTGCCAGGATAAAACTATTTCCCACAAACATTTTTGAAGGTACTTGGTGGAACCTGTGAATGCAGGATTGTAGATCCAGTGCTGACTGTATTTCCTCACCCTGCCTCCAGCTGTTCCATCTGGTTCTAAACTGGTCCATCTTGGAACAAGAGAGTGATATGGACCTCAATTTTGTAAACTGGAGGACAAGCACCTTTCTTGATTGTTCTGTTAATGTTGGCTTTGATTTAAAAAGGCAAACAACTCTGGGATAAGTTTCCCCTGCCCAACAAGAGGGGCAGCAGACAGAGATCAAGGTTACTCCTCAGACTGAGTCCTCTTGTAAGAATTAACAGCTGCAATGCACAACTGCTGCACTCGGTGAGCAAGAACAAACTGCCTTTGTTTAAGCAACGGTTAAGCACAAATTACCAACTTTACATGTTCAATGTACCTTATTTTTATAAAAATACAAGATGATTTATTTCGAGCACATCCCAAGGCCAAGCAAACGTAGTGATTCTGCCACCTGCTGTCCGTAGAAAGAAGTGTAGACCAGAGGAGAGAAAAGGTCATATGTACTAAACTCTCTCAGCCCCGTTGGCAAACACTAGGCCAATGAGACAGTTCCATGGGTGCTCAAGTGAGGCCTTGTGACCCATACTCCTCTAGGGTGTGGCTGCTCTTGGGGTCCTGGCCTGTTCTAAGGGGAGCCAATCTCAGGTCTCTAAACTCCTGTGGCCTGTCACAGCTGGATGGCTACTGGCCAGCACTGAGCCTTGAAGGAAGGAAGAGGGAGAGGTCAGGGCAAGGGGACAGCAAGCAGCCAAACCACCTGGAAAAGCAGCAGTCACAGTAAATCTGTTCTCACCTGGGAGGCCAAGAGGTCAGTTCTGCTCTCAGATCCAGACCAATCAATGCCAAAATGTTCCAATGACCAACACACTAAGAACCACTTACTATTTACAAACAAGGCACATTTTCTTGACTTTGACTTTCAAGTTATTATGGTGGTCAACGAAGCAAACACCCAAAGATCTTCAAAAACAAAATCAGAAAATTCTACCAATACTGGTAGATAAGAAGGCTCAAAACTATCATCTACAATCAACATTAAATCTGGTGTGGTCCACAGTGATGGCACCTTACCATCTGCTAAGCCTTACTGAACAGAGAACAGATAGAAATGGAGACTAGTTCTTAGCCTAAGGGCACGTGCATGAACTGAGTGTAAAAACCAACCACAGCGAGGGGCTTCTGACCGCAAATGTGCCTTGCCACATCTCTCGTTTTCTGGCTTGGCTTTGGTGGAAGTTACCTCCAAATGGAACTGAGACACGTTTATACCTGGCCCAGACCACCGCTCACTTTAGCTGCTCCTTGTTCTTCTCATGGAAAGCAACCATCCTCCTCCTCAGAGATTCACTAACCAACCCTTCCCTGGCCCAGGCCACAACACCCGAAGGTCACGGCCATCACCCACCACTCAGGGTCAGGACAGTCACAGACTTTGGACTGAGAGTACAGCTATGGGGGAGGGAGCCCCCCATAGGGGGGCTGTGTGGGAAAAGAGCCCGGCAGGGAGCAAAGTCAACATGGAGGGCAGGGGGGCGTGTAGAAGAGGCTGTCAAATGAGGGCAAAGCACCAGGCACAGTGCGCCTGAGCCTGCCACCCTGCGCCATGCTCCCCCAAGTGCAACCACTACTTCTTGTTCTGGTTCAGACTGGAGTCTCATCCTTGACACTGAAGACTTGCTGAATGCAGCGCCCACAGTGCGGCGCATGGCTTCAGACAATGAGCCATTACCCGCTCATACTACCCTAGCAAGGTCAGACAGCTCACCTATGCTGCCTTCACCAGTCTGAGCTCCATTTTCAGTTCAGTGTGGATTCTGAGTTTCAGCCATAGACATTCTCTCATAAACCCAACAACCCTAGTTGAAAACTTCTGTGTGATTTTCACCTCCAGCCAGCCCCTTCCCAGACCAACCTGATGAGCCTTCATCTTGTCTTTGTCAGAAATGAAAACGTGCTCACTCTATTCTAAAACCACAATTAATCAAGTGTTAGTGTTTTTACCCACACTGACTCAGACACAGAGTTCAGCCAGCATGTGCACGACGACTCGGTGAATACATGGCCAACAGAATCAGGAAGCCCGGAAGACTGGCGTTTCTCAGTGGGGCCTTGATGGCGGCCCCTGACCAACAAAAGAAGAACATTTTTACGACTAGGCCTTTTATCACGTGGCCAGTGGGGAAGCATTTCACATTTTGGTCAGCTTCCTAGTCAGACTTTTGCCATTTATCAACCCTAGAGATAAGTTGCTGTACCCTGTAACCATCTTAGGGCTTCTGATTTCATATACAGCATGGCCTGGTAACATAGAACTTCCTCTGCTAGGTTCACTGTCACTTTTAATTCATGATCATTTGTAAAGGAAACAAAAACATACTGGCCCTTCAAATCTTTAAAACAGAAAGAAACCCTCAGGTAATTTCCCCCTCAATTTTAAAAACTGTGGTAAAATACATACAGCATAAATTTTATCATCTTAATCACTTTTAAGGATACAGTACTGGCAGTAAATACATTCACAATACAGTACAACCATCACCACCACTCACCTCCATCATTCTTTACATCCTGTAAAACTGAAGCCTGCAGCCACTACATAGTAACTCTCCATCCCCCTTTCCCTGGCCCCTGGCAACAACCTCTGTGACTGCTACAGTTCAGACCTAAAATGCCCCCTACACATCTCCTGTGCTCAGAGCAGGGCTCCTGGAAGGTGACTGAATTATGCAGGTGCTATACTGATGAGTGGATTCACAGATGGTTCCCAGCACATGTTACCAGGTGAGGGGAGACCTGGTTGGAGGTAGCTGCTGAGGTGTCACCTAGAAGGGTGTATTCTTGTACCTAGCTGCTCTTTTTTCATTCTGCTTCATGGGTGGAGTCATACAGTATTTGTCCTTTTGTGTTCAGCTTATTTTATTTATCATAAATTCTCAAGACTCAACCATGTTGTAGCTTATGGTAAAATCTTTTGGTTTTTCAGGCTGAAAAATACAGCAAAATCTTGGATTGCAAGTAACTTATTCTCCAAATGTTTTGCAACATGAGCAAACACTTCTAATAACTTTTAATCTGATAAACAAATGATGTCCTGCAATAAAAGTAGTACATGAGACTAAACCTCACATTACCATAGTTGAGCCAGTGGTTCTGTCTCTCTGTCTCTCTCCCTCTGTGTGACTGTGGGTGACTGTCTCCCAAAACCAAGAGATTATGGAGGAGATCTTGTCTGGAGAGGAGAAAAAGGTGGAGGAGTCTCTCACTATAGTGTAAAATTTTGTAGGAAAATACCACCTAAATAAGGCCATAGACGTTCAGTAGTGGCAGTAGTGAGTGATGAATCTGTTTAAAGATAATGAAATGTCGTATTTCCGTGAAATCCTCAAAAAAAGACAAAAGCAAGTGTCACTGGGTAGGTTTCTTATTAAAGCTACATGAAAAGGATTCCATCAAGCCAATTGATAGCAGTGATTGATTCTGCGACAGTGAAAGCTGTCCTACACAATAACCCTGCCCTCTCCTGTCTCCCTCATACCAGCTTCAAAGGTAAGAGTAGACTGATTTACTTTGCTTTACAGTTTGTATTTTATTATTCTGTAGTATATGTCAGTATTGCAATCACTTTTATGTGACTGAGTTGTGAAACAAATCATCTGACTTCCATCATTTCTTACAGGGAAATCTTTGATATACAAGTGCTCTGGACTACAAGCATGTTTCTGGAATGAATTATGCTCGCAAACCCAGTATTGCATATTGCATATATGCAAGGTTCTGCTCATCCACCAGTCTGCTCATGAATACCTGAGCTGCTTCCACATGTTGGCTACTGTGAAAAATGAATGCTGCCACAAACACCCGCACGAACATCTTCCAGCCACCCTGCTTTCTGTTCTTCTGGGGAAGCAACCTGAGACTGACCTGCTGGGCTGCTTACTCTTACCACAGGACCTTCTCCAACAGCACAGCACATGGAGCAGCTTCTGCCCCATGCACACAGTGGAGGACACGGACACCCTAATCCACCTACCCGACTTGAAGATGTGGATGAGGCACATGAGCAGCGTGCCGAGCTCCTGGCAGTAGAAAGTATGCTGTTGTTCACTCATTTCCACTTTCAGCTGCTTTGTAACAATGTCCTCTAAAAGGATCCCAACCAGTTGTAACAGAAACCTTCCAAGACAACGAGAGGGCAACAGTGAGTCAGGCGACTGTTATGGAGCACAAGTTCCAAGCATACATGGGGCATACAGTGTAAGTCAGCTAAGGCAGAGACACAGGTATGGCACACTGAGCATCTCCAATGCACCACAGGCACTGAGTACACCACCAGCTTCAGCAACTTGCTTCAGCTGAAGCACACAGGGCCATAGGCCACACAGGGGCATTGAGCAGGCTCCAGGTCCATCTCTCTCAGCAGCCCTAAACGGCTCCCCTGATGGCAACCAAGGGCAGCCAACCAAATGCACCAGGGCAGAGCAGCATTGCGAAGGAACAACTTAAGAGAAGCTCTGGCGGGGGACAGACACTTGTCCACAAAGCAGCCTGGGGGAACTCGCAGGGTCGAGGAAGGAAGACAGGGCCAGTACTGTGGGTACGTAGCAGGTGCCATCCTCCTTGGCAGGGAAAGCTCTTCACCACTGACAGCCCACAGCCCTTTGGCACATGGTGAGCACAAACACAAGTCTAACTTTTAGGACTTTCTCAGGGCTTGAACACAGCCTTATTGCCTGTATAGAAAGCCAACCACACCCTGCCCAGTACATGGTGAGCCACTCTGCCAAGTCTTTAATAAGGACAAAATGGAATGTGACACAACCTTAAGAGAAGCACACAGCAAGGGCCCCAGGTCAGGCAACTGGACTAAAACACAGCAACACACATCTCTTCAGCTTCCCCAGAGCTGGGGCTAGACCAGCAATTATTCCAGACGGACTAATCACCAGACACCACGCAACTTCCCAAAGACACTGGCTATAGGTTTAGATACAGAGCGTACCTCGAGAATGTTTCTTCTGGTGAATTCTTCAATTGTTTCCCTTCATTGTGTTCTTCTGCTGTGGAAGTACTGTCCCCATCTCTCAACCTGTTAATCACTGAACAGGAGATTAAATAGGGCGAGAAGGAGAGCTCCTGAATGCGAGAGAGAACAATATCTTCAGTTGACTGGGAAATCAGAACCCTCAGAATGGCTAGGATTCCAGATATCCACAGCTGAACAGTGCTCACAGATGCCTAAAGGAGACAAAGTAAGTGAGTTATAGCTATCGAAAGAAAAAACACTAAATTTCCCCCAAATGCCAATTTTATAAAAGAAAATCGCTCCAGGTTCACCATTCCAATGAGTCCCTACACCACTGCTTCTCCCACGTAGCCCTGTGACACCCTTGCCACATCCTCCGTAGTGGCTCTGTCTACAGGAGCCCTCTGTAGCTCTGGGTATTGGGAGAGGCTCACCAGTGTGTCTGGAGTGACGAACATACTGCGCAGAAGCATGTCCACTGGGCGGAGGGAGGAAGGGGCCAGAATCTCAAACAAGGTGTTCAGCACTCCGAGGGCTTCATGAGAGTCAATATGCATCTGCGGGATTGAACACTGCAGATGTTCCCAGATAAGCCTGCACTGGAAAAGCCAACCCCACAGCACCAGGAACAAGGTCATGGTCACCATTACCACCATGCACTAAAGGCTTTCTTTCTTTCTTTTTTTTTTTTTTTTTTTTGGTCTTTATCTTTTTTATCGGTACCAGGGATCGAACTCATGACTGCCTGCTTGCAAGGTAGGCGCTTATGCCGCTGAGCTAAATCCCCAGCCCCGCACTAAAGGCTTTCTAAGTTCAGTAGTGCAACAAGCCACCTTTCAGGACAGCATGCTAGCAGCTAGTTTTCTCCCCATGGTAGAAATCTTTTCACTAAAGATTTTTATCCAGATAATATTTGTTTTTGGTGAAAAGGTCAAATATACTTAAGTATGAAATGAATCACCTGGAAGTAATCAACCTGATGCAGGTGCATAGACACTTTGGACCCAGATTTCACATACCTTTTCCTATGTGTGTACATGGGATGACACATGATGCTTTTTTTCTGAATCAGCTGCACCTGGATCTGATCACCGCCCTGCCCGTTAGTAACAAACATAGACCTGTTTCCTTTCTCTGTGTTCCTAAATTACTCACAGGCACCAGCAAGTGTCACACTTCAGATTACAGTGAACTCTCAAGGTGCTGAGTTTAGCTAGAGTGGTGCATCATGGGTACCGTGCTCACTGATGGATCAGAGCACTGACTTGCAGTTGAGAGCTGGGGCTTAGTCCCAAAAGGAGGGTCACCGAGCTGTGTTCTTGTCCCTGACTCCTCCCCGCACTTCACTTCTTGGCTGCCACTGGCTGAGCACCTTCTCCTCGCAATGCCCCTCTGACCTGCTATTTCTGCCTTGGGGTCAGAAGACTAAGGACTGAAACCATAGGTCAATATAAACCTCTCCTCCTTTACACTGCAGCAACAGATATCTTGTCCCAGCCACGGGAAAAAGGACTAACACATTAGGTAAGCGGCTGGGGATTTTGCTCAGTGGTAGACCATTTGTCTAGATAGTAGGAAGCCCTAGATTTGGTCCTCAGCACCAAAAAATTAAAAGGCAAAAAAAGAAAGAAAGAGTAAGTCACAAGGCAACTGATTTAAATTCTAACATTACTTTTAATGAATGTAAAATACTCCGAACTGAATTTATGTACTCAACCAGTCCGAGACAGGGCCGACTGGTACACATACACCCTTGTAACAACTCAGCAGCACGGAGCCAGACCTTAAGGTACAGACACCACACTCAACTTCTGGGCTGTGGCCTGCCTGTGCAGATGCCATTTCTGTCTGCCACTCTCCTAGCTAATCCTGACACTGTGCCTGCCAGTGGAGACTTTAATGGTAACTGTCCGTCCTGTGCAATGATGCTCGCGTACTTGGCAGGTCTTTGCTTCAGTCAGTATAACCACATTTACCCCTTTCCCTCTGGCTGCTGCCCCACCTTTCTGTTCCCTCTTCCAATAAACCCCTCTCTTTTTGCCCTTTCACAGCATGATGTGGTTACAACCTACCTCTGTCTGCTTCTCATGAAACTGTTCTTTGGCAGCCCTGGTACTGCCAATTCCAGTTGAGTACTCAGTATAAGCAGACACTGTATTGGTGGGATTTTTTTGAACACAGCTCCTCCATGAAATACCTGTGCATATATGCATGTGTGTGTCTGTGTTTTGCTGGAAACTGAACCCAGGGCCTCACACGTGCTAAGCAAGCTGAGCTATACTCCAAGCTGTTTTTTGAATTTCATTTGAGATAAGACTTAAAAGTAGCCATATCTGGCCTCAGCTTCCTGAGTAGCTAGGACTACAGGTGTACGTTCCCAAGCTTAACAAAAACCTTCTTTTTTTCTTTCTTTTGGTTTACTGAGACACTAACTTGTAAATATCACTGCACTCAGACCAGCCTGAGACAGGGACTTGTTATTTAGCTTGCTCTAGGCCCAAACTCAGCCGCAGCTGAAGCTAGAACTCCTAATCCTCCTGTCTCAGCGCCCCCCCCCCCCAGCACCACCATGTCAGGCTTAGCATGCCTTCCTTAAACATGGCTTTAGGAAACACACAACAGTGTGGTCTCCTGGCCAGGCACTGAAGGTCCTTTCTGATCCCCACCGCAGGCTCCTCCACAACTTCCTGCGTGAGTGGACTCAGTGGGTGTTAGGGTTTAGATCTAAATCATCCCTCAAAAACCTCATTTCCAAGGTGGGGCCTGGTTGGAGGTCATCACTAAGCGTAGGACCTGGAAGAGTGTGCTCTTATCCTCAACTCCTCTATCTTCTCTTGGCTTCCTGTCTGCCATGAGCTAAGCAGCTGTTTCCCACCAGGCCCTTTCTGTCTTAGAGCCAGATGACCGTAGACTGAGCAGTGACACTGAGTCCCTCTGCATTGAAGTTGTGTGTGTTGGATATTTTACCCCTGCCACACAGAGGCTATGGCACTGAGGCACTGGGCTTCTTGCCTGCAGCTGGGCTTCATCTGCTGCAAACTCAAGTCTCTCTTCAGCTCCAGCCGGCACCAAACGCCATGGTCACCCCACAGCAACCACCAGGAGATGCCAGTGAATGTACCCAAGGGGGCTCCGACCTTCTCCCTGCCTTGTCCATGTCAGCTCTGTCATTACCCTGACACCACCCATGATGCTTTTTCTACAAGTCCCACAGCTAAGCCACCTGCAAACCTTGGGGCTTTCACTTTCACAGATCCAAGAGTGGCTAACACACTCTAGCATGGGGCCTCCTTGCCTACCATCTCCTCCTGGAGTCTCTTCACAGCCTGGGAGCAAAACTCCAACCACACATGGCTCCCAAATGCATGATGCCGGCCTCCCCAGTCTGCCCTTTCCCTGTGGCAGCTCTACCAGGCTGGCTGCCACATCCTAACAGGGCTTCTGCACCACAGTCCACTTTGCTTAGAACACACTTGCTCAAGGATCTCTAAGAATTACTCCATGCCTTCTTTCATGTTTATCCTGATGTCTGTCACTTTGCCTATTAGGCAAGGCTTTTTCCTGCTACCAACTGAACAATGTCTCCCTTACCCCAACACTACCATCATTTCTTTTTTCCTTAGCTTTTTCTATAGAGTACTTAAGTTTTTGTTTTGTTTTGGTTTGGGTTTTTTTGGTCTTTTTGAGATAAAGTTTTACTATTCAGTTCAGGCTGGGCTTGAACTCACTTTGTAGCCCAGATTGGCCCTGAATTCACAGCAATCCTCTTGCCTTAGCCTCTGGAATGCCAGTATTACAGGTATGACTGTCACCATGCCCAGCTCTACAGAGAATTTATTATCTATACTTTATACTATAATTTATTATCTATACTGACATTTTCTATACTTCTCTAATTTTTTGTTCTGTAATCTGCCCCTCACCTTCCTTCCGACAATATGGTCACTCTAAGGCAGGCATTCCATTTGCTTTCAATCTGCTTAGATAGGGCCAGGGATTTAGCTCAGTAGTGTAGGCGCCTGCCTGGCAAGCATGAGGTCGCGAGTTAGAGCCTCAGTACCAAAAACCACAAAAATAAAAAATCTGCTTAGATGACTGATGTACATGCAATATGCCAGTGCTACTCTGGAATGTAACCCTACACTGTGCTGGCCCACAGCAGGAATCATGCTTAGTGTTTCAAGTTTTATCACAATTTTCCCAGTGGCACAAATTAAGCTAAGCACTTACTATACATCAGGCCTTCAATCTCCACCCTTCTACAAATTGTGCACATGAAAAAACTCCTACACGGTGTGGTGGTACACATACCTATTATCCCAGGATTGGGAAACTGAGGCAGGAGGACTGCTGTAAATTACAGGCCAGTCTAAACTACGTAAGTGAGACTGTGTCTAAAAACAAACAAACAGATAAACAAGCAAGCTCCCAATCCACCCCTCTGAAATAACCACCTACAGGTGCACCATCCCTGACCACTGCAAACTGCTGTCTGCCAATCTCATCAGAAGCCAAGACATTTAAAAAAAGAAAAAATAAAAAGCCAAGACATTTGATATTGTCCAAGCGGCCTTAGGAAACCAAAAAGGGGCAAACTCACAAATACAGCAGCTCTTCATGCCAGTATTCACCAAGCACCAACAGCCATGGCCATTGTGCTACCCAGAGCGCCTGCGTACTGTGGATGACATGATGGCCCCAGGTACAACTGCAGCAGGCCCCTTCCACCCTCCCTGGCTCAGATACTGCTACCAAGGTGCAGAGACATCTAGGGCCCACATGGTTCTGGACCAGGGCCAGCCTGGCTCTACCTGAGGTGACATGCCTAAACTACTTCCTGCATGGCATCTGAGAGAACTACAGACCTGTTCTTTGACGGCAAAAATTCTGATTCAATGATGGGTAACTACCCAGCTACTTAACAAATTGATAAGGGAAAACCTAGAAAACTAAAGAACAAACCAAATACCCGAATGACCAGATGAAGAACATGGTCATATCAAACAGTACTCAAATTGTGGAGACTGGGGTAATCTCATATCTAGCACTCTTGAACTGTGTGACAAGGGGAATCGAAATGACCCCTCTGAGCCTTTTTCCTTGGAAAACCCCAACCTGGAGTTACTGCAGGAATTACAAGAATCATTTGCCTTGTGACTGCACACAGAACTAGCACAGGAGAATACATTACAATTTGGCGAAAAGCTGTTCACCAACCCCCTTTAATCAAGAGCTTACTCTACCCTGAAATAAGCCATAATTACTGCAAGACAATGAACCAGGACTGTGGTGACAAACCTGCTGCTTGGCAAGCATGGGCAGGATGATGTCAGCAACTTGTCGAGAAAGCCGTTTCCACTTGTCCTCACTCTCCTTGTGGCACTGCTGTAGGACGAGGATGAACATCTCCAGCACCTGCAAGAGCCCAAGTTTGTGCACCCTGAGGAAGCCACCTAGCCCAGCGCACCCTACTATCCCCACACAAGTCCACGTCTCACACTGGCCCCAGGGCAGCTTCAAGGCTCTGGGACAAAAGCAGAGGTGACACCCCAAGCACTATGGAGTCAGAGGAAGCAGATATAGTCCTAACCCCAGCACACATGAATGGAGGAATCATGAGAACACACAAGCAAGAGACCAGCGAGGTCTTCCTGCTTCTTTTACTCAGGGTAACTTGTGATCAGTGTTATCCCCATAGAAATTACAAGACTTCACCACCATGAGATAAAAGACACAAAATAAAAAGCATCCTCATTAACTTCTGGGAAGACTCCAGTACACCCCAACTAAACTATCTTGATGGTGCTACCACACTTTCACATGCATCAATTTCATGCTAGTGTTCTTTGGGGATGTGCTTCCTACCGTGCCTTGCATGGCACTTGCCTTAGCAGGATGCAGGGCTGCCCACTGCCCACTTTTGTGAGCATGGCTTCCCTGACCCTGCCATGCCTTGGCAACAGGGGACAGCAGGGGCTGCGATGAGACAGCGTGGCCCTGAAGCTTAGAGAGCTATCACTGGGCACACTGGCTACCGCAGGACACGCTGGCTCACTAAGAGCAGCTGCTTACTCTCAAAACGTTCTGTGGTACTTTAAACATTACTGTAATAGGGAATGAACCATAAGTATTTCATTAAGTATCACACAGACTGATCAAAACATGAGTTCACAAGTGCTGTTTCCCTGAGGAAAGCTTCTGGTTTCATAAAGATTCAACAACAGAGAAATAAGTGTGGCTCATGCAACAGCACAGGTTTACAACAGAAACTAAGAAAGCTGAGCCTGAGCTGTCTCCAAATGTCTTCAAATTCTTGCTCCCCCTTGAAGAAAACAATCAGAAATCAGCTCACAGAACAAGACCATGACCCTGTCAAAACAGCAGGAAAACAAGACTTAACCTGGACAGCGTGGGCTTTAAAGACACACCTGGCTGCACTGCTGAGAACCCGTGGCACATATGCACTGCAGGCTGTTACAGTTGGAAGCTCCGAAAGGTTCTCCATCATAGGCCTACTGCACCTCTTGCCACCAGGCTGTCCCAGGTGCCAGTGCTGTTACCCCTCTCCCTCCCACGTCCTGGGACTACGCCGCCGTACCTCCCTCCTACCTGATGGTACTGGATGAGTCTCAACAGCATTGACACCACCACCTCCTTCTGGGTTTCAAGCTCCTTCCCCGCATCAGCTTTATTTGCTCCTCTTAACACAAAAAGGTCATGGACTATGGGCTGCAGAGCTGGGATTGCTGTGGGCGTGAGAGCTTATGTTAGATGGGTCTAAATGCCTTTCAAGTACTTTGATGCAATAAAACCCCAATGCATACTTGTTTGTCATAAAGAATGAATGAAGTCTGATTGATAATGAGTGTTGTGAAATCATTAAGGAGAAAGTCAAGGATCTTCTGAACACAAGAGTTCTGTGAAGAGTTCTTATAAAAAAGGACTGGGTCAGGCATGGGAGCGCACACCTGTAATCCCAGCACTCAGGGGCTGAGGCAGGAGGATCGCCTCAAGTTCAAAACCAGCCAGGGCTACACTGTGAGTTCCAGGCCATCCTGGACTACATAATGAGATCCTTTTTCAATAAATTAAAATAAATAAATGAAAGAATGAATAAATGAGGATTGGGATGTAGCTTGTGGTAAAGAGCTTGCCAAATGTATGTGATGCCCCAGTACCATAAAAAAAAAAAAAAAAAAAAAAAAAAAAGAAAAGAAAAAGAACTGTAGAACATCTACAATATAACAACACTTCTGATAAAAGGTGATTCAAATTCAATTTAAAAATAATAAAACTTTCAAATAATCAAATTAGCAAATCCATGCAAAACCAATTTGATTTACCTAAAAATAAAAAGGATACTTTTCCTATGGAATAAATATATTTAGTTATGGTTTAGAAATGTTTTAAGTGAACTTATTATCTCATATGGATAAAAAGTTTTCCCCAGGTCTCACAGCAATCCAAAACAGGAGTAAAACTAGTTTCACTTTGTACTACAACAACATAGCAAAGTTACAGAACAAATGGCTTTGACTAATCCATAAACCTGCGGCTCACACACGTACCTGACCCTCACAGGGATCCTCTGTGACACTCCCTGTACTCCTTGCCCCTAAGGATATACACACCTTGGTAAACTTGCCCATCTTCCACCTACGAAGCACACACTTAATAGACAGTACTGGCTTTGGTTGACTCAGAGTTCTCCGTTCAAAGATTCTCTAAGTCCAAGAAACTTCAGTTCCCTGTATTCGACATTTGTGTTTGTTTGTTTTGTTTTGCTTTGGTGTTTTTGAGACAGAGTCTCCCTATGAAGGTCAGGCTGGCCCTGAGTTCACTTTGTAGCCCAGGCTGCCTCATCCTCCCAAGTGCCAGGGTTACAGGCATGTACCACCACGCCTGATATCTGTATTTTTAACTAAATCCAGTGACCTGAACTCTAGGATTTCAGCATTCAATACTTTGCTGAGGCACCAATCTACTGAGGCCTCACCTTGTCTCTCAGTACCACTCTGCCCGTGCTTTTCCTGCACACACAGATGCAGATGTGGTGGGTGTGGAGTGGTGTGGCAGTGCCTTTTTCCCCTCTGTGGGTTTGTAAGAGTCTGAGGATGTGTACCTACCAAAGGGCAAAAGCTTAGATTCCTGGTAACTTACTTTTCTCTTGCTGCTGAGACAAAATACCTGACACCCAAAGTTAAAAGGGGGAAAAGTTGTTTAGCTTAGTTTGTAGTGATGTGAGTCCATAATGAGCTGGCTCTAAGACAAGGTGGTACATGGTAGAGGGGTACAGATCATGGGAGCAGAGGGCAACATGAGTAAAAGCAACAAGAGCAAAAAGGCGGTGGCTATTCCTTGTTCCAGAATCTAGTACCAGAGAAGTTGGGTCCTTGCTGAGACTGTACCTGTCCATGTGGTTCAGGAGCCTCTGGGAATGGCTTGTGGAAGTCTGTTCCTTTTTATCAGTACCGGGGATCGAACTCACGACTGCCTGCTTGCAAGGCAGGCGCTTATGCCACTGAGCTAAATCCCCAGCCCCGGGAAATCTGGAAAGGTTTGGAGATTCTGGATGGAAAAGTAGGTCTGGCACACCTTAGGCTGCTCTGTATGGGAGACTATGGACAGCTCAGAAGACCAGAAGGCTGACAGAATTCCTGCCAATAAAGACCAGACTCGGGAGGTTTCTGTTGGGAAGGACTGCATCGGCTGTTTGACTCCAGATAATGTGTCTCATAGGTTGGCAGAAAGTTTGTCTGCATTTTGCTCATGTCCTGAGACTTTGACCGAGACTGAGATTAGGGGTGGCCGAGTAATTATTCTGGCAGGAGTAATTTCAAGACAGACTAGTACTAAGATGGTGGCACGGCTACTATTGGCAGCTATTAGCCAAATTTATGTTGAGAATCAAATGCAAAGAGCCTAGCCCCACTCAAAATATTCTGTTTGGCCAGAAAGGAAGCTCCAGTAAAGTTGAGAATGGCAAAGATAGATAGAGCAGTAGAGATCCTGACTGCTAAGAAAAAACAATAGAGTAGAAAAGATGGCCTGAAGGCATCACAAAAGGCAGCAGGATGCCATTCTTTGCAGCTTCAAACTGCAAAAGTGAAAGACTGCTTTGAGAAGAGAGCTATGGAGCACCGTGCTCCAAGAATTGCAGCAGCATTGAGAATTTGTTCCTCAGAATTGGATTCAGAGTGCTCAGAGATTCGGGCACTAGATCCCTATAGTCAAGAAAGAGGGAGGAAGCCTGGCTACTGCTCCTGCTGGCAGTAGACCTTGTCATCATCCAAATGGTGCTGGTTTTGGGTACATGGAAAATGGAAGAACTGTGGGTTCAGAAGGCTTTTTGCCCAGATTTCAGATCAGCTAGGAAGTCAGGCAGCGTGTCCAAAAGACAGCAGTATATGAAGCTGTGCATGTGAAGCTACATGAGCACTGGAAACCCCAGAAGTTTGCAGAAGCCAGGAATGTGAATCTTCTGAGGAAAGCTGTAAGGAAGAAGCAAAGCCGGCCCCAGAAAGAAGGCATGGGAGCTACAACCCCCCAAGCAATGCCATAGGGGCGGAGCCACACCAAGCCATTTGGAGTTCATGACACAGAATGCTGGGGATGCTAGAAGTAGAACTATGGGATTTAATGTTTTTCCTGTTGGATTTTGGACTTGCTTTGGTTGCATTCCTTTGTATCTTTGTTTGTAACTTTTGGAATGGAAATGTTCATCTTGTGCCACTGAATGTTAGAAGTGTTTGACTTTCTTTTCACTTGTATAGGAGCTTGTGGCTAAGAGTTTACCTTAAATCTCAGAGCTGACTTGGGATTTGGGACTTTGCAGAATGCTGAATCTGTTAGAACCTTAGCATCTTGTGGAAATGGACTATATGCCTTTTGTATAAAGGGATGTGTATGAGTCTTTGGGTGGTCAGGGGTGGAATGTTACTGTTTGCATCTAGATGTCCCCACAATGCCTCATGCAGTCATAAGGATGGGCTTCTAGAGTCTGCGATTGACTTATGGTCCAATCCTGTGATTAAGAGTGTGAATTCTACATCTACCCTAGGGTGGATAGCCTGTATACAATATAAAGGCAAGAAAGAGGTCTGCTCTCACTTCTCACTTTTTGCTTTTGCTGTCTTCTGCTGCCATGAACTGTTGTCCCTCTGCTATGTACCACCCTGCCTTCGAGTCAGCTGTTTACAAACTGAAACCTCTACAAACTGTGATCTAAATTAACCTTCCCCCTTTTAACTTTGGGTGTCAGGCATTTTGTCTCAGCAATGAGATAAAAGTAACTAAGATAACTGGCAAAGGAGCAAGGATGGACCAAAAGGGAAATCCCGGACAATGAGTTCTAAAGGGCTACAGATTTACAATGTGCTCTTAACTCGTTTCTCCTCTTGCTCCCACACGCTGTGAAGGAGCTGACTGAGGGGGCTGGGGATTTAGCTCAGCAGCATAAGCGCCTTGCAAGCAGGCAGTCGTCAGTTCGATCCCCGTTACTGATAAAAAGTAAAAAGACAAAAAAAAAAGGAAGCTGGGGGCTGGGGGTTTAGCTCAGCGGCATAAGCGCCTGCCTTGCAAGCAGGCAGTCGTGAGTTCGATCCCCGGTACCGATAAAAAGGAAAAAGACAAAAAAAAAAAAAAAAAAAAAAAGGAAGCTGACTGAATACTTGACCACTTGCCAGGGTCCCAATTTAAGCTTCTGTAAAAACAATGAGCGAAGCAAAACAGCCCCAAATCAAAGTCCAACTATACCCTCTTACACCAATGTAAAACAAATGAAAATGTGAAGGGAGATTCAAGTTTAAAATTTTGTGGGGCTGAAGTACAGCTCAGTGGCACTACTTGCCTAGTACATCTGAAGCCCTATGATTTGCTCTCCAATCTTACAAAAAAAAAAGTTAAGATTTTTTTTTTTTGTCTTTTTGAGATAGGGTCTTGCTGTGCAGTTCAGGCTGGCCTTGAGCTTACTATGTAGCCTAGGCTGGTCTATAACTCGCAACGATCCTCCTGCCTCAGCCTCCTGAGTGCTGGGATTACAGGCATGAGCCACTACACCCAGCTTACAAATTAAAATTTTAAAAATTACAGATTTTCTGTTTCATACAGACAGTAACATTTCTATTTACTTTTTATATTTTTTATGTTTTTCCTAATTAAATCATAAACTCTCATAAGTATACAACTGGTCTTTTCCTAAACATCTCTGTGTCCAAAAGCACACATACGGACATGCACGTGCGTGCACACACACACGCATGACACACTGACACACACATGTGTGCACACACAGCCCCACACAACACAGAGCCAGCATTCAGAACTGACTTCAGTGAGAGAAGATGAACACAGTCAGGCACACGTGACAACGAAGACGGGAAGTGTGCTCTGTTACCGTGTGTCACAGCCTTCCTCCCACTGGCCATGATGCCATCGCACAGCTGGATGATTTTAGGAATTCCAATGATCTGCTTTGAATGGTATCGTTCATAAGACAGTAATACCAGGAAGAAAAAGATGTTTGGAATAATTGCCTCTGATTCCCTGGAAATAAAAACAACCAGTTAGCCATTTCTTTTTACAACTAAGATACAGGATCAATATAAATGACACAGAATAACTCAAGACTAGGCATTGAAACAGAGTGTCCTAAGCAAAAGCAGCCCAGCAACCTAACTTAATTCCAACATGCGGGCAGCGGGGTCTGGGAGGCCACGTAGCAGCAGGTGGGGGGCAGCTGGCAGCATGGGATGACCAGCAGGTATGATCTGATTCTCACTTCCCCATCTACTCTTTCACTGATAAAGACACAGACTCGAGGGAAAAAAAGCACTTTGCCCAAAACTACATAAGGGTGTCTTATATAATTAGAAAACAATCAAGCTCCCAAGGGACTTGATAAACATTCCTTCTACAGCCGCTTATAAATTACTAAGTCCTTCGGAAACTTGAGACTTTATTTATGTTTTTATTTATTTATTTAGTGAGAGAGACAGGGTCTTGTTATGCTGTTCAGGTTGGCCTTGAGATTATTTTGTAGCCCAAGTTGGTGTCGAACTTGCAACAATCCTCTTGCCTCAGCCTTCCAAGTGCTGGGATTACACGTGTGTGCCACAGCACCCATTGAGACTTTATTTTTAATCACTGTGCTTACAAACCTGTAACAGGCATGTCAAGATATACTAAACTCTTAATGTCTAGCAAGGAAAAACCATAGTCAATGTACTAAAGTGCACAATCACTGTCAATAAAAACATCCCTAAAAATTGCTTTTTTAAGATGAGAAGAAGCAGTGCTCTATCAGACAAGATTTAGAAATCTATTATATCTTTAAATGCTTTGAAATGTGGAATGAAACTGACAACATACATAATTACCAGGCACAGAACTACTTCTATACAAGACCAGAGAAAGTCTCATTAATTTTTAAGAGAAATAAAAATACATACACATTACTCAGATTTCCTTGGGGGTGGAGGAGAGTCCAAAAACAGACAAGATGTCTAATAGTCTATCAAAGGAAACATCTTTATTTTAATAACCTGAAATTACATACATGCTTACAACGGGGATAAAAACTTTAAAACAATGAAATGCTCACCTGAACTGGCCCACTTCAATGTATTCAAACTGCTTGAGCACAAATCCGATGAACACCTGCAGGCAGAAAAATAAGATTTGCATGTCAACAGTGGGATCAAAATGTAAACACCAGCTTTCTTTTCTTCCTGCACATCTGTGCGAAATTGTAACAAGATTCCTGATTTGTTTACAATCAAGAACTCAAATCTACTTTTAAGTCAGACAAGGTAACTGCAGAACACTTTGACAATCCCTTCAAAATCAAGTTCACCAAACACTGAGGTGAAACCTCATTGGGAAACCCAATAATAAATTCCAGGTATCACCCCAGTCACAACTGGAGACCACGAGCTGCCAGCAGAGGTGACTCGAGCAGCATGACGCCCAAGTTTTCTCCCTCTACCCACATTCAGTCCCGTGCAACCCTGAAGAAGCAGGGGCTGCCAGTGGCTGGACAGCCAGTCTGTGTCACTCTGGCCCTGACAGGAAGTTCCCACAGTTGACGCACAGGACACATACCCACTGACCCTCAACTCTGCACGGAGTGTAATGGTTGTCTGCTCCAGTCTCCCACCTTGTACCGGAGTGAGAAGGCCAGAAAGAGCGCTTTGTGGTGTGAGGCAAAGGGCTGGGCCTCAGGGGATGTACTTGCTACAGTGAGGTCAACATGCAGAGACCAGCAGGGCACACAGGAAGCTCAGCTGGTCCCTCTCAAGAGCTAAGTAGCCGATAGAGACTTGAGGACACCAAAAGGAAGCAACAAAAATTACTATACTTCTGAGAAAAGGCTCCTGGTGGAACAGATACAGAAAGAATCTGGGAGGATAGCTGAGTATGCTGATGAGTCTGTTGCCAGGGTGGAGAGAGCTACTGACTTTCTCTATCTATGAAGGACAGTCCAGAAAGAGCCTGCAGCCTAAAGCCATCACAGGAACATACCAGCTTTTACCTCGTCCAACAGGACGAAAGACGACCACTGTCTCTGACATGTTATTAACAGCTACAGCAAACAGCACCCTAGCTTCCCTGGGACACCCAGCTTTGGCCCCAGAAGCACTCATCCCTGGGCCCCTAAGCTGGCCCAGAAGACCAGGGCCACAGACCAGGCTTTTCCCCAACTCTACCTCAAATGCCAGAGGAGGTGAGTGAGAAACAGTGGCCAGTTACTCTGCTTTCTTCCGGAGAGCTTTCATAAAGGAAGAAATCATGACAGGGCAGGCCAGGCCAAAGTCCACCATCACTCTTCTCCATCATGCCCTGACATGGTTTATGTTGGTGGCCCCCATGCCTCATGCATTTGCATTGTGCATTTGTGATTGGTTCATTGTTTAGGGCTTGGATTGGGGATGTAAATGCTACCCTGGCCTAGGGGTGGAGCCAAGATGTAATGGCAGGAAGAAGGCGTGTCTCACTCTTTTGTCTGTTTCCTCCTTGCTGTTTGAGCCAACTGAGTATGGACTGAAACCTCCAAAAACTGTAAGAAATAAACCTTTCCTTTCCCAAGTTTGGGCTTCAGGTATTTTGTCTCAGCAATGAGTAAAAAGTCACTGAGACACCCACCCCAACGCCCACCTGTGGAAACCTGTTTCCAGGGTTCTCCTGGGAATGGAGCCTTTCTGGTGAATGAAAAAGGCAACAGGCTGTGAAGACAGGAAATGGGGAGCTATAGTATTTCCATATCAGGAAATTCCTTCCTCATACAGAAAATTTCCCAAGATCACAGCCCACAAATGAGTTCTACTTTGATGACTTAAAGGTAACTTCAAGCAATGAAGACACCACGAGTCCTGCCTCCAAAAGGAACATGACCAGCTATAAAGAAAGGACACGAACCCTCCTCCAAGGCCACAGCTCCCTGCACAGGGTCCAGAAGCACAGAGGTGAGCAAAGTTTTTTAACTGCTTGAAGGTTACCCTAAGTAACAATCAGTGTTTGAAGTCTCTGGATTCTGCAAAAACTTGCATTGTACAACTTAAATTCAAACGTATCTTGGAGAGAGGGTTTGGGGGCTGCATGGGAAGACCTCTGGCAGGTGTTTAAAGGCTAACCCAAGGAGAGCACAACACAGACATGGGGCATCCAGGCCTCCTGCACTTGTCACTTCTTTACAAGGGGTGAGAGGCAGCAACCACTGAGGAAAAAGTAATCCTCACTGTTCTTCAAGAGGGAGGACAGAGGAACATGACAAACCTGATCTGAATCCAGAAGACAGTAATTCACCCGTAACTGAACCAGCTGCGCCAGCAAATCCAAAACCTGCTTCTGCAACTGCACGGAGGTTGTCGTGGTGTACTGTTTCAAAGCTTTTATGACAAGAGGCTCAAATAAACGAATGTGGTTGTGAATAGCATTCTGTTCAAAAGAGGAAGAACCTGTGAGTACACATCCACCAAAAGCTCCAGGCAGGCTACCTGGGGTCTCGAGTGCCTGTGTTCACATGACAGGGCCACAATCGGCCCAAGGCCAGCCGCTCACCTTGTCTGTGCGGTTCTTGGTGGCACCTGTGAGGTTTGTCTTAAGCTGGGAGGACACCTTCTGGAGCACATCAAACCACCTGCCAGAGGGGAACAGAGGAAGTAGAGAACTCTGTCAGCGGTCTTCTTCGCATTCAACCACCCTCCAGGTCATGCCAATGTCATGCTCACAACATGAGCATTAAGGTATGAGGAGAAGGAACTCCCAACTGCAAGATCCCTCAGCACAAGGTGCACGTGCAGAGATCATGAAACAATCTGGAATGTGCAGCTGCCTGCCAGCCTAAGTCTGGCCACCTAGAGAAGGTGATTCAAGCCTGAGCTTTTCTGCTAAGGAGAATTCACTCCTCAAGTCCTGAGGACTTTAGATAGGTAACAGCCACTGAAGACTGGTAATTACCATATGGATTTCTTGGGGAAGAAAAATAAATAGTCACATCAATGCTATCTTTTATTTTTATGAAATATATCTGAAATTACAGGACCAACACAACATTGTTGGGTGTGGAGGCACATACTTGTAGTCTCAGTTACTAGGAGACTAAGGAGAGATGATCCTTGATCTCACAAGCTGGATACCAGGCTATGCAACACGAGACCCAGCTCAAACAAACAGGCAAAAAGCACCCAGTAACACATTCATGTGGCCATACACATGCTCAATTGCTTATGTTCACTGGGTATAATTACCAAATAGACAATTTCTGGAACTTGGATATATAGTGTGTACAGACATTCCTCATTTAATAACCAAATTTTGGTGCTGCAACTAGGTTCCTAAATTAGTCACTAAATGAGGAACTGTATATAGTGTGTACATTACAGTACTCAGAACAAAGAAGAGGTGTAAGAAAACTCCAACTTGATGACTTTGCTTTGATTTGCACAACTCTTACAGGTAGTGCTGCAATATACAACACAATAGAAGACTACAGTGCTATTCTATACAGCACAACCAACAGAAGTCACCACACTGTATAAACAAGGTGCACTGTGCAGAACAAAACACTGAGCCTCAACAAACAAGATGCACAGAACTGTACCAAACACAAGGGTTGTAAGTCCAAATCCAAACAGTGTACCTCAGTCATCAGTCCAAACAGTCGGTAACCAAGTAAGTCATTAAACAAGGAATGTCTGTATGTCACCAACGTAACACCTAGAACATGGGTATTTTCCTTGATTTCTGACTTTTAGATGTGAATTCTTTCAAATTCCTGAATTGCAGGTATTTGATGACTATATTTATGAAGGGAAAAACAAAGACTCTGCTGCTATTACTGTACATAGTGGCAACTCAAGTCTTTGCTAAAAATGACGGTAACTGAAACACATATAGGGCCAGTCATAGTGTCGCATGCCTGTATTCCTAGCACTCAGGAGACTGAGGTAGGACAACTGCTCCAATTTTGAGGCCAGCCTGGGCTACGAAGTAAGTTCAAGGCCAACTTAAACAGCACAGTGAAACCCTGACTCAAAAAGACAAAAAACAAAACAAAACAAAAACAAAAAAATACATGGGCTAGGAGGTAGCTCAGTGGAATAGGGTTCACTTAGCAAGTACAAGGTCTTGGGTTTGTTGAGGAAAGCAGGGAGGGAGAAGACTTTCTGTACTCCAAGGATCAAACTACAAACTTACATGAAAAGAGACCTTAGTCATAAAGGTGTTGTTTAGTTTTGTTTTTTAAGAGGGGCCATTGGTTAAACCACGGAGTGAACCCAGGATCTTCACATTTAGCTACATCCCAGGCTCTTCTCCACTCCTTCTGAGACAGAATCTCATTTGGGACATAACATGCCATTTGGGTTAAAACTTGCGATCCACTTGCCTCAACTATCAATAGTGCTAGGATTATAGGCATGCTGTAGCTATTAGTTTATAAAACACAAAGTAATATTCCAATAGATTTTTTAATATATCCATAAATTTTTCTATGCCCTTCTAATACCTGTAAACACTAGCATTGCTCTGCTACTTTGAAGGTGATCTTTCATCTTATAGACCTCCCCAAATGCTACCAATACACACCACGTTACCATAGAGGAAATGGGAAAATGGTACTCAGGAGCATTAGGAAGTAAGTTCCCAACACAGGAAGACAGTGTACACCCCGATCTGGTCTGTGGGTACACTGGGAAGGAGCACGGATGCTTCTCAGGCAGCTCCATGCCTGAGACATACACCCCAACGCTCAGCCTACTGGCTGGACCAGGTGCTTGGAGAAGGCAGGAGTTGCCTCTTCCTCATCTTTGTATCAGCTGCATTTCCCAGACTTTGCTGAATTGTGGATTACTGACAGATGCTAACATCTTGATTTTTAAATTCTTTTCCAAATATTCCCTCCTGGCTGTTTCGTGCCTCCAAAGGGGGCCAATCCCACCAAAGTGGTACCCCGAGTTGTCGTGCTCCTGCTCCGTCTGCACCATGTTCCTCAGGCTGGCATCCGCAAGGGCCTGCGTAAAGTGGGTGTAGGGGGCCATGAAGCAGTAGTGATATAGGCCCGGCCTCACACTAGAAGAGCCAAGACGCTGTGCTCGGCCTTGCGACTTGCAGGAGTTAGAAGATAAGCCATCAAACTGGGAGGCTAGGTTTGTCCCAAAGAGAGTCTTCAAAAGCTGGAGGGAAAGAAGGGAAGTACCAGTAGTTGATTAAATCTAGCATGAGCGACACTTTAAGATTCTCCCTCAAACCTATGCAATTCTGGTTGTGACCTTGTGAGACCACTGCTGTGGGAAGAGTCTGGGCTTCCCTATAACTGAGACTGGGCTTCGGACAACAGACCTTAGGCACATTAAGAAAGGGGTAAAGTGGCAAGGGCCCGTGCAGTTTCTGATGTCTTCGGGTCCTCCATAGTGATGAAGTGATGGTCCACAACCGCCTGGGAGGGAGAGGACAACCCCACTGGCCTAATCATGGAACGACCAAATGATAGCTTGGATCACAGCCCCCCATCCGACCCCCCCCCACGCCACAGCTTCTGAAGGAGAAGCAATATGCAGTGGCTAAGCCAGGAGGATTTTCTGAGAAGGACAATGAGACAGCACTCTCACCTGCTGCACGCAAAGAGTAGCCATCATCGGTTCCCGACTAAAGCAGGACTTCAGGTAGCCCAGGATCTCTTCAACACACTGGGAGAAGACAGTGAGATGTTAAGTGACTTACACACAGCCCACCATTGTGTGACTCCGAGACAGAAAGCAAGGAAAAAAATACCTTCATTTTAACTGTGTGAACATCAGAGGAAAAATCAAAGAAAGGTTTTAAATCCGTCATCTTGACTAGTCAAAGACCCTGAAATCCAAGCAGATCTAGGATAACCAATCTTTCACTCCTCTATTTCTTAACTGCTTTATCAAGTATCTACTTCTACTCATTCAATTCTGTCTGCAGACCAAGAAGTCACAAGTGTGCACAGAATGAAAAGCTCTGCCTCTGCAGAGCCCCAGGGCCTGTCCAGCTGACCACAATACATAGCTGAATTGAATGAATCCCAGAACAACAGCTCACAGAAATACAAAAACACCTGGCACCTGGCAGAAGGTTTAGCTCAGCGGTGTAAGTGCCTCCTTGGCAAACTCGAGGACGTGAGTTCGATCCACGACACCAAACAAAAACACAAATACAAACAAACCAACAAAAAAACACCTAGCACCCAACAATGAAACTCACATTGGGGTATCCAACAAAGATCAGCATGCATGTAAGGAGGCAGGAATCCATAGTGAGGACCAAATCCATAGTGAGGACCTGGACCTATTTATTGGCCCAAAACTGCCCAGAACTGGCAACATTTCAGAATCAGCCAAATACATTAAAAGCAGCTGCTACAACTGCATCCAAAGAGTAGAAATGTAAGAGATAAGAAAAGACAGATCAAATTTCTAGAAAAAGGGAAAAAGGACAGTGCTCAGGTTTTACAGGAGAGGGACGACTGCGTGTCAACACATCAGAACACTACCTAGCCTTTACTGATGTGTGACACAGTCACTAGCTATAAAAAGGGATAGTGCAAGGGACAGGAGAGAAGCAATAATGGTTCAGTGATTAAAGCTAGGGAAACCTGTATGTAGATCAGATAAGGACTTAGCGAGTGTCTCCAGAGAACATGTGCAGACTTTTTCTGCTAGTCACTATTTCCTGAACCACACAGCATAACACCTCTGATACACATTTACATTAAGATCATGGAGTCACACAAGATATTTAGAGGACATACACAGATTGTTTAAGTGCACCACAATTTTACTGAAGGGACATGCATCCCAGTGGGTTCTGCTGAGAGCTGGGAAGAATCCTGGAACCACCCTGACAGACACCCAGGAAAAAGTGCCCCGCCTTTCACTGGAACACGTGTTTGCACTGTGTTCCCCTGAAGCTAACAGAAATGACACTCAACAGAGCCAAAGCACTGCATCTGTGAGTGGCGCAGGCCCAGGCGTTTACCACACAGCACTGTCACTGTCTCCTACAGACTTGAGATGGGAGAGAAAACAAAGACCAGGAGCTCCAATCCCTGCTGCTCCTGAGGCAGGGACAGGGCCACTGTCACACCCTCACCGACATGGGTTTTGCCCCTTTCCACCCAAGAAGCTAACATGAAGAAACAAAGGGCTCTATAAACACATTTTAAACCCAGTTTTCTATAATAACGGGTCTAAGCCCACCCATGGTAACAAACTAACACTGAAAACAGGACACAGAGAGAACTGAGACCTACACACATTCCACAGTGAGGATGTGACTGAGACTTGCGTATTTGCCATGAGCATGTGGGCTCAGGGCCTGGTCTCCCCAAGTTCCTGCTGCTCCTGGGATGGATCTGGAGCACCAGGTCCCATTCCTGGGTTCCCCGAGGGTACACATTGGGTGTCCTGGCCACAGCTTGAGGAGGAGGTGAAACAGACACAAACCTTCCCAATGTCCTGCAGTGTCGCCAGCTCTAGAATCTGGGAGAGAACGTCCAAGGCAGAGCGCAGGAACCCCCCAAACTTTTCAGTGCTGTTCTGAAGATCCAAGGTGACCTTGGCAAGGTGGAAGGAGAGAGTACACGGTTACTGGCACCGCCGTGGTCTGGTTATCTACAACAAAGACACAAATGCCGTGGGCTGCAGCGAGATGCTTCTGCCGCACAGCCCACGTACCCCTGTGTGCTCCCCAATTCTGGTGACTCTGGCTACTTGCTCACTTTTGGGCACTGTGAAAATACCAGGAAAAGGAAACTCGTCTGCCAGACAGCTATACAAAGAAGATTATCTTTCAAGTTCTGCAGACACTACGGAAAGAAACAATTCCTAACCTAAGTCACAATGCGAAAAAACTGTGAAGTGTTCCTTATGCCTAGTATATACTGAGGTAAACACAAAGTCCTCTCTATATACACTGGGTCCCTAGAAGAAACCATTACCAACTTTACACAGTCATTCAGCCTGGTTGCCATAAAATATTAAATTAGTCTTAGGACATATTAAATTAGGAATCTAAAGGACTTTTTAAATTAAACTATATAGTAATTCCATTACTTTATGGACTCAAGGGTGGGTCAGGAACAAAGACATAAAGTCTCAGAAAAAGGGGATGGAGAACCAGCCTATGAATGTAAGGACTGACAAACATCATAGTACTGAGGAAAGAATGTACCCTGTGGTGAAAGGAGACCTGGACATGGAGCATGGAAACAAAAGTCGATCTGAGTCACCCTCCTCTGCCCTCAACAGGCTGGGGGAGACTCAAGGGATGGATGCTGGGATGTCACGTAGGGACCTGAGCCCAGGAAGGAAGGGGCCCCTCCAATTAGCATAGAGCAGAGGAAGGGGAGAGAAGTCATGAGTTCTGGACAGGGCAGGGCACCCAGGAAGTCTCTTGTCTACAACCAGTGAGACCCAAGATACAAGGGCAACCTTGGGTTTAGGAGGAGTGGGGGGAACCCAGCTCCTATGGACTTGATCTGAGGAAGGGAAAGGATGAGAAGGGAGTAGTGCCGGGGCTCTGAACTTAAGACAGTATAAGTAGAAATCTGGGGAAAAGAAGCCCTTCCCATATGGCACTGTGATGTGTCTGCCTGTTTTGGGGTTGGCATGAAGAATATGCTTGAAACACAGGTCTAAATCTTTTATAAAGTGTGGTGGAAGATTTTCGTTTTCAAAACTATTAATATCCTTCAGCAAAGAAGTCACGTACGGTTTATAAGTGGTTCCCCCTTCCAACATGAGACATAAGTTATCCATTAATACAAAAGAAGAGGAATACTTGTGGACACATCTACCAAGGAATGCACAAAAGCTATGCAAAACAGTCTTTAAAGTTCTTTTAAAGAACTTGAAATTACACATGCTTTGGGGGTAATGAAGGACATTTTAAACAGGACAACTTACCATCTTTGATACCAGTCCTCCCTATGTCATCCTGTAAATTAAACGTGATCCCACTGGGAAATATTCTATGGTGTCTCTGGAATTACACTAGCCTGTTGTAGTGTTTATATGCAAAAACAAGCTGGGCGTGGTGGCTCAGGCCTGTAATCCAAGCACTCGGGAGGCTGAGGCAGGAGGACAGTTGTGAGTTCAAGACTAGCCCAGGCTACAAAGGAAACTCAAGGACAGCCTGAACTGCATAGTGAGACCCTGTCTCAAAAACACAGAATAAATAGATAAATAAACAAATGCAAAAACAGTATTATCAAGAAAAAAAATTTTTCTTTTTGGTACCGAGATCGAACTCGTGACCTTGTGCCTGCCAGGCAGGCGCTTTACCACTGAGCTAAATCCCCGGCCTGAGAAAACTTTTATGAAGTAGGAATTCTGATCTCAAAATATACCATGAAACTGGGGCTTGAGGTTTAGCTCAGCAGCATAAGCACCTGCCTTGCAAGCAGGCGGTCGTGAGTTATATCCCCCGTACCAATAAAAATGAAAAAGACCAAAAAAAAAAAAAAAAACATATATATATACCATGAAATTATGATTAAGCAGTGTGCTTCTAATAGATGAACAGACTTATGGGACAAAATAAATCAATATAGGACCATGAGCTATTATTGATGAGAGTAGAATTTTAGTGCAGAGAAATGGATTATTCAGCCAACAGTGTTGGGGAACAGTGATTAGGCATTTGGAGAAAAATCTAGACTCATACATTGTATCTGACAAACTGCAGTTAGATTGGCAATGATGACTAAAGAACTGAAATCTATCCACAACCAAAACCAGCCGATCAAGCAGCTGCCGTCCCTTCAGAAGCCTGCAGGCAAGGCTGGCACAGGAGCCCCACACTGACAGGAACTGCCCTAGGGAAGGTCTGCTCCTGTACCCCAACATCTGAAACAAAGTTCCTTTGTTGCTGAGCACCTGCTTTTCTCCTGAGCGTCTCCAACCTAGGCTGTCCAGGCAGACACCCACACCGGTGTACTTCCACGCGTGCCCTCTAACTTCTACAGGCTACCTCCCTGTGTCCTCCAGGTGACACCATAATCGGCTTCAGCTGTGAGTACAACTAGATGCTGAGTCCCAGAGCATTTTGTACGACTCTGAAAGCAGAATGGTCTGGGGAAGCCCAGATACACCACAAAACCACAAAAGATTTCTCTTTTGGCATCATTTATTTTTACAACTACTATAAAGTGAGCCAGAAGACAACCTCAAGAAAACATTTGAAACTCCTATCTCGAAAGGCTAATTGAGCCAGAGAGGTGGTATATACCTGTCATCCCAGCTACATGGGAGGCTGAGGCAGGAGAATCTCAAGTTTAAAGCCTGCCAGGGGAACTTAATGCAACTCTATTACAAAATAAGAATAAAAATAGGTGGAGACATAGCTCAGTTGCTCAGTAGTAGAGATCTCAGCATGCAGGAGGCCCTGAGTTCAATCTATAGTGTACCAAAGGGCAGAGAGACTAACTTATTTACATGTATGTATGCATATTTGGGCATATACAACCTTCAAATCACCAGAAAAACACCAGCAAGGCCCGTGTGCATTTACAGACATATTTAGAATGTAGCAGAAGTCAGTACCTTGTAGTTGGCATGAGTAGCCTTCAGGACGTCATGCAACTTGAGGTATGAAGGAAGATGGTAGAAACTCCCCAGTGACAATAATTTACTGGCTGTTACTGGCCCTGAGGTATCGGATTGTCGGGAAACTTTAAAAATACATAAAAAATGAATTTTCAGATCTATGCAATAACTTGCCAAGTTTAAAAGAGATTAACCAGCAATACATTTTTAAAAGCATTCTGGGACAGATTAAGAAGTTTCCTCACTTTTTGACTAATTAAACTAATGAGAAACACAAGAAGAACCTAAGGCTGTATTGAACATTAAGACAGTAAAGAGCAGCAGTGGCCCGTCACTTGCTAAGGCACAGAATGCCAAGCCAGAGCCTCTGAAGTAGGAGTCCCCTGGGGAACATGGGGCTGATGTCCACAGTACAGCCACAGCCCCTTATGCATCCAAACAGTGATGTGAGCACATCTGGATCTCAACATCACCAGGCTTAGCACAATGTACAATATGTCTACTTCAGTTTTAAAGCCTTCTGACTTCCGGTGGTTGGCTTTTTTACTCATCAAAAAACGATCAGTTGCACAAGGATAAATTTGTAAAGAATGAACCTTTTAAACAGGTAAATCTTCCTGCTGTGCTATAGAGCCTTAGAAAATAATGGGCTGAGGATTTAGCTCAGTGGCATAAGTGCCTGCCTGGCAAGCATGAGGTTGTGACTTCAATCCTCGGTACCAAAAAAAAAGAAAAGAAAATAGCACCTGTTGAGAAGCCTTGATATGTTCAACAAAAGAGAGAAAAATGACATTTAAAGATGGAGGAATGAGCTCGAGAGTCTCACTGCACCACACGGTGACCACGATTACTAACAACATGTCTCGCACCTGGCAGTGTTCTTGGAGGCCTCATTTTAAGCAGTCTTAATCAGCCCCTCCACACTGCAGACAGATTACCACAAGGTCATGGGACGAGGCCGTGGGGCAGCCCCCAGCATCTCCACAAAGAGGAACAGGACACTCAGGATTGGCAGCTGCAGCCATGCTGATATTCTGGGGCCCTTCAATCTGCTGTTTCCCCAGGGAAAGCAACTGCTCCATACATCTGTGACTTTCTAGGCCCCACATGCACTGCCAACCTTGAGCTCTTCCAACTGTAAAGTGTCCATGTCCTATATCAGGATGCTTAGTCAGCGCCTCCTCCCACTTCCAAACCCCCTCCTAAAAATCAGGAGTCTTTGCAGCAATGCCTCGCCTGGAAGCGTTAGAAAAGGGGAAGAAGGCAGAGGAGTGGCGCCCTCACCAGACACCCAGTTAGGGGCGGACGTGGTATCTGAGAGCATACTCAGGGAAACTTTCCCTGTCATGCTGTCATGCTGTCATGCTGTCCCTTCCACTGCAACAGAGCAAATGTTTAGGCCCTGCCCATGCACAGGACAGACAGAGGCCCCTTCTTCCCTTCCAGTGTACCGCCTACCTGTGCTTGCCTCGCTGCCCTTCTTAGGGCTCAGTGGTGCAGAGGCTTGTTCTCCGGGTTCCTTCTCCTTGCCCTTGCGCCGGATGGGACTTAGTGAAGGTGGGTTTGTCAGAGAAGGCAAAGCTGCCTAAAGCAGAAAACAAAAACATGACCTAAGTACAACTCACAGAGACCGAAAACAAAATATGATATGCAGTTCTATCATGCATTGAGAGGCACTAAGTTAGGCGATTCCTTTTGGTCTTTGAATCCCTATTTACAGAACTCACACACTGAACACATCTTATCAACTTCACTCCCACAACAATCATAAGTGCTAGGAATGGCCCCAGACTTTCTCACAGGTACAAGGGAATGGGCAGCAGACGAAGGGCCCTCAGGCAGTTGGGGCCAAGGCCCTGAGCCCCAGTCCTTCCCATAACGGAATGAGGCATGCATCGTGGACCATGGCATGAACAGGCACAAATGTTCCAAGTCTGGAGATGAAGTTACTTGCTAGGGTTACAGCTAAGAAGCAACTAATGGCTACGCCAACAAAGTCCACACTTTCAAGTCCCCAGGAGAGAGAATACAGAACATCCAGGCTCCCAGACAGAGGCAGCAGGCATGGGCAGAGTGAAGAAGAGATGGCAGAGGGACTCCAAGTACCAGTTCTGCTGCTCACACTCTCCCTGACTTTAGCAAAGTGCCAATGCAGTGTCCAGACCCCTATGTAGTCTGTGGAAATCAAACTCACAAGGCAATGGTAGCTAGAGATGACTATGCCATGATGGTACTCATGCTCCTATAACATAGCCCTTGCCCACCCAGCCTGAAGATGCAGTCCCTCAGTTCTCCATGAAGACACTCCCTTGCCAGAAGTCAGATCTTTTGGCACCTGGACCCCAGACTTCCTGGCCTAAAATCTGGGAAAACTAAGTTTCTGTTGCTGGTAAGCTCTCCAGCTGGCAGCTCGGACTCACTGGGTAGTCATCTCACACCCCAGGTCTACTCTGTAAAGATGCTGCAAGGGTCAGACAGCTGCAGTCAGAGTGGACTGAAGACAGCAGGGAAAGGTTGCAGAGGGCAGGTCACAGGGCCACCATAGAAGTATGCAGAAGAGCCACATCCACAAAGGAAAGCAGGTCAGTTCTGCCTGATGCTGGCACAGCTGCAGCATACAGGGTTCCCTTTTGGGTTCTAAAACTGACTGCTTCCCACTTCTATAGCATATTTTAAAAATGAACTGTACATTTCAATTGTATGGTGTATGAATTATTCTGAAAATCTTATTTCAAAAAAAAACCCCAAAAAGCCAGGCGTGATGATGCAGGCTTAGAATTCCAGCGCTCTGAAGGCTGAGGCAGAAAGATCACAAGTTTGAACCCAGCCTGAGGCACTTATCAAGCTAGAAATGGGAGTCATCACAGTTCCTACATTTTACTCTCTGGCTGTTTCCCTATTAGATGCTGTCTAAAAATACACTTCTGCTGCATGTCCATGTATCTATGCACATGTTCTGTCAGTAACTTGGTGAGACGGTCTCAAAATAAAAAATAACAATGATGCACTCAGGCCCTAAGTTCAAATCCTACTTCTGCAAAAATCAATTAATCAGGCCAACATAGTGGTCCAAATGAGATCATCAGTTTTGCCCTGAATCAAGGCTGGCAGCTTCCTGACGCTGCTGGTTTCAAGCAGGAGCCTAAAGAGATGTCTTTCTATAGTCTGTTGGCCATTTCAGAACTTGGGCAGTGAAAGAGAAAGAAATGAAGCAACCCCTCCCCCGGGGTGAGCAGCTGTGAGTGTGGCAGGTTCCGGTGGCCCAGGACGAGAGCCACCAGCATCTACTGGGACCCGAGCCATGTTGGGACGTGGAGCACCGGGCAACCAGGCAACCCCTCCCCTCCTGGTGAGGGCTGTGAGTGTGGCAGGCTGCAGTGGCCCAGGAAAGCAGCCACCAGTGTTTACTGTGACCCATGCCATGCTAGGATCTGGAGTGCTGGGCAACCAGGCAGTCCTATGCGCCTGGTGAGCAGTTGCGAGCATGGCAGGCTCCAGTGGCCCAGGATGGGAGCCACTGGTGTTTACTGGGATCCGTGCCATGCTGGGACCTGGAGCACTGGGAAACAAGCAACCTTGCCTATTTTGTTTTGTTGAACTTCAATATACATGAAGGTATGGACAGCTATTTTGAAGAGAACGAGAGACTCTATGACAGCCATTTGTGATTTCCCTATTGTCTGGTTTTGAAGACCTAAAACACCTTCCTCATTCTGTTTGGATTAGTTCCATACTATGTTGCTGTGTATGAACTTTCTGTATGCGAAGACATGGACAACTATTTGGAAGAAAACAAGAGACAATATGATAGACAGTGAAGATCACAGGTCGTCTAGCTTTGAAATGTACATCTCTTACACTGCTTTCTTATGTCCTGTTTTGTTCTGTTTAATTTTACCCCCTTTAAAATAAAAATAAAATAAAATAAAATAAATTAAAAAAAAAAAAAACAAGTGAGATCATCAGTGGTGCTGGGTAGAGAAGACAGGGGCTGTGGGATGATGTGTACAAGAATACGTAGAGTAGCTGTGAGGCCTTGGTTTCCAGATTCCTAAGACATCAGGTGGAAAAGCAGACAGGAATAGATGCAGAGGAGGGGCTCAGTGGGGACCACCACACGTCTGACATATCTCAGAATCAGTCACACAAGCACTGTGCGGCTGGGGGCTATGTTGGACTACAGCTCCTGCTGGTACTAAGTTTCCTGGCACATAGACACTGAAGACACTTGTGGCTCTGGCCTGCCCTGTCCAGTCCTGGTGCCACTGCCCAACACAGCTGTCTGCATTTGCAGTCAATGACAACAAAACAAGTTTCTAAAACCCTTGGCCATACTTGCAGAGCTCAGGAGCTACATGTGGCTAAGGAGAACATGGGATGATTCCATGATGGCACGAAGTCCTACTGGACAGGGCTGAGCCAAGGTCAGAACTTCTGAGGGGTGGGAGGAAAGAATGACCAGGGCAAGCCTGGGGAGCAGCAGGGAGTCAAGAAGAAAAAGTAGGCCCAGGTAAGCAACCTGGAGGGAAGGCTCAGACCAGGAAGGTGGGATCAGCACAGCAGGGCGGTATATCAAAGGATATGGGAAGGTGTTTGTTACAGCCTCAAACCAGAATGTCAGCCAAAAGCCCATGCAATAAAACCTGGGCCCCAACCAGAGGTCTTGGTGTGCACGTACACGCATGCGCACATGTATGAACATTATGAGGTTGGGCCTAGCTGAAGAAAGTAGGACATCAGGCCATGGCTTGAAAGGGATGTGGCAGCCCAGCCCACCCCGTTCTGCTTCCTGGGACCCGCAGGTGAGCAGCTTCCTCCCTGCTGTGCTTCTGCTGTGATGCTCTGCCTTACCACAACCTCAAAACCAACCACCCATGGACTGAAGCATCTGTGATCACAAGCCACAGTCATCTTCTCCTCCGTTGTCTGTCTCAGATATTTTGTCAAAATAATGGGAAGCTGGTAATAGAAGGGAAGAAAAATGGGCAAGGGAAGTGCCCAGGATATTTAAAGACACAGCCCTGCAAGGGAGAGTGCTGTGGAGGACGGTAAAGAAATCTGACCAGCCAGGGGTGATACAGAGGACAGGACGCAGATTCACAGGGCCAAAAAGGCTTCAGTAAAAGGAGACCCCCAGAGAGTAGGAAGTGTTAGGTGCTGGGCTGGAGAGCACCTGACAGACAGCATCTGGAGGAGACAAGGAAGTTACAAGGGAACAGTGTAAAAACAGAATGCACAGGAAAAGAAGAACCAGAAGAAGTGGACTGGACCACTTTAAATTTTTGCACTGTGCAAGTAAGCACCAATTACAGAAGGAGGCATCCTCGCTTCGGAGACAACAGTAACCACTGAGAGGCCACCCCTAACATGACCAGGCCTCATGTTTCTACCTTCAATGTTGCGTCCACGCATAGGACAGCAAGTGAGGAAGAAACGCTCTGCTAAGCAGCAGGTACCAGAACCCTGCCTTAGCTGTTGCAAAGAAGCCATTACCTTGATTGCTGGCCCAGGAGCCACATCGTCCAGGACATGGGCACAGATGTTGATCACCTTCAGCAAGTGAGAGAAGAGCTGCTCCACCATGGGCACCAGGGTCCGGTCCCCCAGAGCAGGCCACACTTCCTCTTGTCTGGTTGCTGTGGGGTTGGCTTCTTCTTCAGAGGCCCATGAACTTCTCAGAGATTTGGGGGCACTTGCTGTGAAACAGGCAGACAGACACATTACCCCTGCCTCCACAGATGGGAAACGTAACTGCCTGGGGGACACATTTAACTTAATTCCCTCTATGCTGAGGGTCTAACAGGACTCTTGGACCCTCAGATTCAGCATGAAATGACCCTTGTAATCTACATTCCCAGTTCCCATGAACATCACTACTGTACACTGGCCCAGAATGTGGATGACCCTCCCAACCGAGGCTCAGGTGGAGGTCAGGCCTAGCAACTCCACCTCTTCCAATCTCTTGGCCTCTTCCCTCCAGCACACAGCTGCTCTTGGAACTGGAACGGCCACACTAACCTCCAGTTGCCTCATCAGCATCTAGGTGCCGTTCTCAAAGAAACTGGTTAGCCTGCTTCATACAACAGGCCAGCACAGCCCATTTCCCTAAGAAACAACATGGAACCCACCCCCATGTAATCTGAAAGGACTCTGCTTTCCTTACTGGCCACATTTTCCACAATCATCCACACTCTCAGTGACATCTATGATGACTTCAATGCCCCCATGGCACACAATTTCTCACATTTCCATGCCTTTGTACATGCCACATCCACCTGGTAGGCCCTTTCTCGCCAGTGCACGACTCTGCCCTATATTTGCAGTGCTTTACAGCTGCCACATGCTGTTACCATCCTCTGCAAATCTACAGCCAAGGTGAGAATGGAACCTACATGGTCCACCTCCTTCTAGCCGCTTAACATAGCCTGGCACAGACAGGGCTTCTACTGAGATGGACCTCAGGACTCAGCTACCCTGAATGAACCAGCTAACCCCACTGACGGACTCAGGATCTATCTGCCTTGTTTGCTTGCCATCATCACCCTCATGAGGAAATCTCAGCTCAGGTTCTGGGCTCCCTACTTCATTTCAGCACAAGTACCTGCGAGCAAGTTTCCCGCCAAGATCAAGGCGTCCTGATGGGCAGAGATGTCGAGCGGGAACCAAGCTGAGGAGAGCAGGGTAAGAATCACAGTGGCCATCCCAACGGTGCAGCTCTTCCTGGACTCATCAGAAATGTTCAGCGGGGGTGCTCTGGAAGCAGACATCGGAAGGTCACATGGAGCAGATCAAGAGGACAGCCTGTCTCTCTCAGAACCACAGGAGGAAGACATGTCATGAGACACTTTCCACCAGCTCAGAAACCCATTTCACCATTAGTAGCCGGTCAGTACACATTTGGGTAAAAATCACTTGGGAAATAAAACACATGGTATAGCTGATAAAATATCCTGGAACTATACATCTACTGTGGCGAATTCTTAACTTTCTTTGCATTTTGATTTAGCAAACACTATTCTACTGTCAAAAGTTGCTCAGAAGGCAACTGTAGTGCTGGACCTAGGAGGAAAAGCTGTATTTGTTTAGTCTTTGCAGAAGAAAGCAAGCAAACATTCCAGGCCAAGGACCCTGTCCACTCAGGAAAACGGCAGCTGACACACACTGACACACACTGACCTTATGAGTGGGATGTGAGCCAGTCAAACTTTTTTCAGTCATCCATACACACAGGAAAGGCCACCCCTGAATGCTATGGTACAGTCAAACCACATCCATCTGCCGCACAGGCCAATTACGGGATGAAAATGATTTTTAGGAAAGAATGGTGCATGGAAGTACAAGAGACACTGAAGTTGAGGCCTAGAGTCCCTCACAACTCCAAACGCTAGGTCATACTTGATTTTCAGTACACAGTAATCCTGCAAAGAAGTCAATTAGGAAAGTTTCTACCAGCTTAAATAAGTTCTCTTCACTGACCCAACAGATTGCACTCTTGCATCCCCAGAGATACTCAAGAGTCTGTGGCATTCCTTAGCTCTTGCCAACAGTTACTCCTTTTAGTTTGTACACTTAAAGGGGCAGAAGCAAGTATTTATCAGATACTTTTCCCAGAAAGCCAAACTGATAAAAGGCATGAAAGGAAAGAATAGAGGGATCCTAGTAACCACATCTGTATTGCCCCCAGGCAGAGAGACACAGGCTGAGGAGGATACATACCCACAGTGCCAACCTAAGCTCCACACACAAACAGGAAAGGCGGCTGAAAGAAGACACAAAGCTTCACAGCATCCAAACTACAAAAAAAAAAAAGGAATAAGAAGTCACTCCCAAACATCAAAAAAGCGGAATATTTGTTACTTTACTAATCAGAAAATAGTTTTTACTATTCCTCAGAATAAGCCGGAATAAGATTCTGTGGACAAAAGCATGGGTCCTGAGCATGCGCTGGGACACGGCATCTCTCACGTGACCTCACGCCCTGAACACATGGGTGCCTGGGCCTCAGCCCAGCTTCAAAGACTTACTGTGAGTGCACGTGTGGTGGCCGTGATCAATTCATGTGAAACGGCGGCGATAACTCTTGAGAGGTTATTTTCCATGGTGACGTCTGTTATACTTGGTAGTAAACTATACCCTCTATAGATTCTATAAGAAAAACAGAGACACTTAAACTTTTCTAAATCATATGACATTTTCAACATCAAATGGCACTGTACAGTTTAAGATGAAAAGCCAGAAGAGAGTAGAGCAGTCTTGGCTTTTACTTTAGTGATAGACTAGATACAATTTCAGTGCTTATTTGGGAGAAGGCTGAATCCTTTCCTCCCTTCCCTCCCTTCTTCCCAAGCACCCACTCGCTGCAGCACTGGCCACACTGCCCATACACATTTCTCTGCGCACAAACACCTGAAGCCCACCCACAGGAAAGAAACCCCTTTCTCCATGACCAACCCCCCATGGGACTCTTCCAGTGGGTCATTCATGCCACACATCTATTTCTACCCCTATAAATACTAGGGGTCTTACAGAGAGAGCAATAAAACTCTGAAACATCTGGAAAATCTGGTTTATCTTTTCCCATGGGTTCTAACACAGTGGACTGTAAAGTGGCAATACACAGCTGAGGGACAATCAGTCAGCAGAAGTGAAGAATTAGGAGAATTTTCAAAGCAGCAGTTAGCAAGTGACTGTAATGCAGTATTAGGACTCATCTTTGTTAGCAGCTACAGAGTCATCTTCTGCAACGGCATTAAAAACAGCAGTTTGCTCTAAGTTGACCAAAATCTTGATCATGAAATACCTGCACACTGCTCCTTACCTTAAAGGACTATTTATGCTGAATCTTTTCAAAGTATAGTCTCTGAGGGAAAATATTAAAATATTAGTCCCCTGTTCAATTTTTAAAAGTAGCCTTTACATGAGAAAAAAAATTTTATTTAGGAATAGTGACTTCAAATTTTGAAAAGCTGAGTTTTAAACTCAGGAAACAACTATCCAGGGATTATTAAAATTTAAAAGTCATTTAGTCAAGATCTTAGAAAAAACTGCCATTTAGCAGAAAGGAGGGTATCATCTAACTCTTTTCAAATATCATTGAGAAGATAGAGTTAAAGCATCACAGTCTCATTGTCACTTCTGTGAGCTTCTCTGCAAACTGATTTTCTGAGGCAAACTGCACTTCAAAAAAAAAGCATATTTGTTGTGCTCCTGCAAGAGTGAAAGAGAGGCATCCAGCATCACTCCCCACACCCTTGCCATGCACTAGCACCGTGCCAGCAGCATGATGAAGGGGGCGACGAGGAGTGTCCTCTTCACAGGGGACATGAATAAAGGGCCAGTGTTCAGTGTTCAGTGGACAAGTCTCCAGAAGACACAGGAAAGCCACACACAAAAATCTCACTGGCAGTCTAAGGAATGGAATGTGTGACATGGTCACTGCGGCGTGCATGAGACTGGGCTTATGCACAGAGGTGACAGGGCGAATATCCAAGCAAGGGGACAGGACCTGCTCAAATACTCTAAGTAAAGCCATGTCATGGAGAAAAAGCCCAGGAAGCCACTGGAGGCACCCGGGGGCGCTGCACACCTGGTAATCGTGCTGACGGAGAAGTGCGAGGGAGGCCGCGTCTCATGCATGAGCAGCTTCAGGTGAACACTGCTTTGATCTCTTGCCACAGCCACTACTGGATCAGCCTGTCCTTGGTCACATTTATAAAACAGCTTCGGGACAAGCCTGCCATGAGAGGAAGCTGGTTTACTGGAAGGCCAAGACCCTCACCCTTGCTCCCTTCTCCTGGGATGGTCGGGCCATAGCCCTGTCAGCCACGGCAGGGAGCATTCCCTGGATGGGAGAACAGAGGGCTGCAGTTCTTTTGGTGTTCTTCTTGTACCGTTCCAATTTTAGTATATGTGCTGCCGAAGTGAGCACTTGGTGCTCTTCTGTGTGTTCCAAAATGCTGGCAATAAAAATGCATCACTTTTACAATGCAAGGGCAGTGTCTGGGTTTTCGTCATTTTAGTAAGTAACCTTTTCTGGAGACTGCTGAGAGCAGAATGGCTAAGAATGAACTCAGGCCCAGGAATGCTCCCTGTCACCTCTGAGTTCCTCCTGCTGTCTGTTCCCGCCCTCACCCCGCTCACACTTTAGCCAAGAGAACTAGTGAGGAGAAGAAGCTGGGGAAATACCTCACTAACGATGCTGCCGCAACGTGTCGCACCCTGGGATCTTCATCCCCCAGCAAGGAGATGACAACATTACTGAGCACTCGCTCTTGTAGCTTTAAAAGCTTTAGAGAAAAGGAAAATAGAAATAAACAATCTCTGTACTTGACTATAGATAAAATAGTTTGGAAAGAGCAACATGATTGATTTTAAGTTAATCACAGCTTTTATAAGGTGTGAAGCACCTAACAACACAATGACATTCAGAGAAATTCTGTACCACCAGGAAGTCCCCCACCCCCTACCCCATGTGGGTCCAGGAACTCAGGGCACAGTCTCCCCAGATCAACTGCTTACCCCTGTATAATGATGAGCTCCTCTGTGTAAGTTCTCTGATTTTGCTTCCAAAAAGCTCACCAACCTGACAAAAGAACATAGTCAAACATTCAGAGCCAAACTATGGGGCTCTGGCAGCTGGGACACAGAGGCTCTGAGGGGGCTCTTTCAATAGAAAGACCAGCAGGTTTAAACACACATTCACATTCTTCTTCCAACCCCAGCATCAGTAAGAGGGGCCTGAGGACTGAGGCTCTTCTTCACAGCGTTAGGGAGGAGGATAAGAGAAATAAGCAATCTCTGCACTTGAGTGTAGGTAAAATATTTTGGAAGGTTGACCTGCTACCAGGGAGCAAGCACTCTGAAAGCCCACGGAGCCACCCAGATGCTGCTGTGGTGAGCATGCTACAGAGCTCCCACCTGCTGACCAGCTGCCCCTGCCCGGAGGCCCTAACTGCAAGGCAAAGGCCAGAATTATCCCTGACTGGGAGATGTTCCAAAGGTGGAAGGAAATAGCCTACAAGGCTTGTGGTGCCTTTAAAAAGCAAAGATAAAAAGCAAAATCAGAAGGATAATAAAGGTAAATTTCCATTCAAAAAGAAAATTTTGAAAAAAACATGTCAAACCAAAACTTACTGTTAGAAACCAAAAAATGCACCCAAAATTATTTAACTGCTGGTCAGGTGTGGTGGCACATGCCTATAATCTCAGGACTTGGGAGGCTGAAGCAGGAGGATCACTGCTAAGTTCCAGGCCAGCCTGGGCTACAAAGTGAGCTAGAGGACTGCCGAACCGCATAATGAGACCTTGTTTCAAAAGCATAACAAAACAAAAATTATTTAACTGCAACAAAATATGATCCAGCCATCTACCTCCTAAATATAGAACAATAGTGACCCTTTTTAAACGAGCAGAACTGGCCAGGCATGGTGGCATACACCTGTAACACTAGTACTCTTGGAGGCTGAGAAAGAAGGATTGCCGGGAATTCAAGACCAGCCTGGGCTATATAGTTAACCAAGGTCAACCTGACCATAATGAGATTTTGCTTCAAAAAACCTAAAAAAAAAAAAAAAAAGCCCAAGTAGAATTGATAAAGGCTATTTTTTCTAAAAAGAAAGTTTTAAGACAGGTGTTGGGACATAGCTCAGTGGTAGAGCACTTGCCTACCACATACTAGGCCCTGGGTTCCATACTTGCATAAGAAAAATGTAAAAATAAAAAATTTCCTTTAATGTTTAAGACAGAAGTGAAAAAAAAATCTCTTTTATTCCCACCATCCAGAACACTTAAGACTGAGACAAATCTATTTCTCTACTTCTAAGTAAATTTTCCAGTTAGACCAAAGGTCTGCAAAGAACTTCTAAAAGCAACAAAAATACTAGGAAGATGAAAATCACATGCTCTACTAAACCACTGGCATCTGATGGGCAGGACAATCCCCCTGACTCTGTCAGGTGATGAGGGCGGTCAGTTCCTGGCTGGATCATCCACCAGGGCTGAGGAACCTGACACTCTCACCTGAAGTCCATCTCCGCCAGCGTCTCCAGGAGCTCTGTCCTCACCAGCCAGTAGGAGCTATCCCTCAGGGCCAGTAGGTCCACCAGTAGCTGCAGTCCCAAGTCGCTGTAGCTGCTGCTGCAAAGACTCATGACACAGTGCTGAAAGTGGGCACAGGCGAGAGAGAGCAGGAACGTCACTCAGCAGCACCAGGATGCGTAAGGACAGTACTCTTTCATGTGCACCTGCCCTGTGGTCTCTGCACTGCAACGAGATGCTGCAGGCTCTCATCGACACTCGCATATTTAACGGAATTCAAGTTCACATGTCAGTGCACCTCCTTCACATAAAGTTTTCTTTTACCCCCTTGATTCTGCCTATGCCATGGCTTTGTCTTAAACAACAATTAATTTGTGATTGAAAAATCAATTTGGGGACAACATATAATTATTGGCTACTGTTTAACACATCTCTAGCACCACTTTAAAATTAGCCCATAAAAATCAAAATCCGAGGAAAAAGGCCAGGAGTCCACAGAAACAGGTGCCCTGTGCCTGTTCTGGGTCCCCTGTTGCACAGGGAACAGAGGTGCCTTGTGCTGCTGTGTGCCCTGCAGCTGCTGAGCACGTGGAGCCCTGGCACACACATGCTCATAAGCAGCAACACTAGCCAACAGTGTGACTGCACTTGTGACCAGACACATCCACTGGGATTTGGCAATAAAACTGTAACTAGAGAACAATCACAATAGACCAGGAAATTTTCAAAAGGAGAGATGGGGGTTTTTTTTGTTGATTTTGATTTTTATGGGCTAATTTTTACAGTTACTGACTGACGGCTTGTGACTTACAAGCCTGCTGATAAAGGTTCCCACATGTTCTCATGTAAGGACCTGAGGCTCTTCCACTTGATATAAAAAAAGAGGCTGATTAATCCTAATGGCTTGCTTTAACTCTGAAACTCTATGGTGTACACAGAGTATTCATATGAAGTACATACAAATATTTTCTTTAAATCAACAGATTTTACATTTAGTAGCAGAAAGGTATATTTTTAAATATTTTATTTTTATATTATTTTTCTTTTTTCATACTAAGATCAAGGCTTTCACACTGAACTATATCTCCAGCCCTTTAAAAACATTTTTTTTTTCTTTTTGAGATAGGGTCTTGCTACCTAAGTTCCCCAGGCTGGGCTCAAACATGAAATACTCTTCCTAGAACCCCCTAGAGTTGAGATTTCAAATATGCACCACCACACCTGGCTATCAATATACCCTCGAAGGTTAAGGTATATTTCAAATAAGTATTCTGAGAATTAAAGGTTAAAATTTACTAAGTTGTAACTTCATTGGAAGGGTTTGTTTCTAATGCTGAGTGATGAATACACAGATGTTAACTATTGTTTACAGGTTTAGAATGGGTGGCAATAGTCTTACAAGCTTCAGTTGTAACTGTCACAATAGTAAAATGTCAACTAATCAAAGAAATGGATCAAACACAAAAGTCTGCTCACCCGCACAGCTGCACAAGCCAACTTGCATGTCACAGAAGATTCATCCTTTAATGTTTTCCGTAGCAGTGGAATGCAATCTGCTAGAGAAAATCTATTTCCTAAACCAGAGACAGGGAATAAAACATCCTCATGTGTAATTAAGTTTGGGGATGGTATCTGGAAAGAACAAGAGTGAACACTGGCTGTTACCTGTCAGCATCCTAATGGTACCCAGCCAGTCCCCCACGTGGAAGCGGGACCTACTGAGGACAGAGGAGATGAGAGTCCCACAGAGAATAGCAGTGGCTCCTCGGACCTGTGGGTCTCCATGGTCGATATAGTTTAAGACGTCAGAGACATACTGCTCCTCTGTGAAAAGGAATTGCCCAATTACTGTGTAATTCTCTACTGTCTACTTCCTACCTCAAAATAAAACTTTAGTTCTAAGAAAAAGTGGGGGGGGGAGGTGCTTTTCAAATCCAAAATGATTGGACAATAATAATCCTGTTATTATAATAACCCTAAAATAACCCTAAAAATAACAGGGATATAATAACCCTAAAAATACTGGTGAGTTCAAGAATTCTAGATTGATCCTATTGCTGATACCTCCTTAATACAATCCAGATTTTCTTGATTATAATTTCAGGCTACTGAACAATAATCAAAAATTCCAAGATTTCATTTCAAAATAAAGATTAGAAAAACCTCAAAATACTACACATTTACTTCATGTAAACGCAATGTAAAAGCAAAAACGTGCCCTCTTACCCACAGTAAAACAGTAAGGGAACAAATAATTCTATCCACAGTGACTGTAAGCAACAGAAGCTGGGCTGTGGCTACCCCGCCCAGTCTCAAGCTATCCCCACCTGTCTCTGCACAAGGACGTCTGACCTACTCAGTGTGACTCAGCAACTTTGATATGCTTTGTGCTACAGGGATAAACAGAGTAGGCATGGGAATGGCTCCTACAATCTCTGATTTCTACTGTCAGTTATGTGCATTTCAGCTACAAACACAGCACTTAATGGGAGTCTGTCAACCCAAGAACACTATTTATGTGGCTATAGAGAGCTACCGGACAGTTCAAATGCATATAGTAACGCTACGTATACACTGTTCTAAAACTGAAACAGCTTAAAGTAGTTTTGAAAATAATGATTCAGTCTGAAAGAAAGCTGTGAACTCTGAATATACCGGGGTATTCCGTGGTGTCCAGGGGGTGTTTATACAGTTTGCTGAAGAAAGATTCTGGATGCAGGGCCACAGCTGCCCCAACACAGCTAAGGGCTAGGGCCTTCACACTGACCCGCACATCCCTGTCTGGAACCAGCACTGCAAAGAAACCACCAAGCCAGGTTCAGCCTTTTGTTTTCACAGAAACAAAACATAACCCACCTGCCCCCTCATTTCCTCCCTTCTCCATCCATCAGTACAAAACAAGGCCCACCCCAACAAGGTGACACGAGGCCACGAATCTGATGTCCAAAGCACCAAGCATCTCGTCAGCCCTGTATCTACCCTTCCATGCTTACCATTTTTTTCCCCAGTTAGCAAAAATGAAGCAGATAACAGGCGGACACAATAAATCAAAGGAGCAGAATCGTCATCAGCAGACTGTCCTATGTCACCTTTCACTCGGCAAGGCTAGAAGAGAGGCAGACACATTTGTGATAGTTCATTTTACAGACTGTTCCAGAACAGCAACTGTGCCAGGTGTAGAGACAGCAATGCCCGTATTTGCCAACACATAGCGGCTCACAGCCAAGCAGAGGCTGAAGAGTCAGTGTCTACACAGACACAGGACTGTGACAGGGATGAGCTCATAAGCAGGGAAAATGCACAGGACATAACAGCAGAGAGCAGGCATTCAGAGAGGCAAGGCAGGTGCAGTCTTCTATAGGTCAAGCAGCAATCATTTAGCAAAGTAAGATTCATGGAAGCCCAAAGGTTAGAGGGATCAGGCTTGCATCAAGCAGGGCCTGGAAGGAACTGTTAGGGATGAAGCACTGTCTGATGAGATTAAACCAAAGATGGTGAACCTTTTAGAGCTCTAAATCATACAAACAGCCCACTGCAGCATGTACCCCATAGGTTCACTAAACTATGAAACACAGTTCTTGCCCTTGGGGAATTTAAACCTAAGCAGAAGAGAGTACGTGTGCAAACAGTAGGCCACATAAAGAGAGATATTTAAAACTGTTCAGTGGAAAAGCAAGAAGGAATGTTGCAAGGTTGTGCACAAGTGAAAACTGCATGGCCTGAGAACTCAGGCAAGGCAGCTGCTCAGCACAGAACAGGAATGCTGGAGGAGAAGCGAGGCCCAGACTCCCAAAGGAGGCAGAATCCAGACCATCTGAAGAACTGCAGAGTCGCTGAAGAGGCAGAAAAGGCAAGGCCTGAAGAGTGCTCAGCATTTGAAGAGGAGATAAATGGCTGGGGATTTAGCTCAGCTGCATAAGCGCCTGCCTTGCAAGCATGAGGTCATGAATTTGATCCCCAGTACCAAAAAAAAAAAAAAAAAAAAAAAAAGAGAGAGAGAGAGATAAAACAGGGCCAGCAATAGGAAACTAATAAATCAGGTTGCCAAAAGCCCATGATTTCAACCCCAAAAATGAGGTCAGTAACCTGGAGCCATCCTATACCTCAGGAGCTCACCTTGTTCTCTTGATCGCCTGGTTCAGCAGCTTCCTCTCTTGATACAAACTTATCTATACTGCTCTCAGAAGGCTGCTGGCTGTGACCCACACTCTCCAATAAATGTGCTTGCTGAAGGGCTTCAAAAGCAGAGAAATGAGATTAGATGACAAGTTTTGCGTGAAAACACGTATGCACACGGACACAAAATCAACAGAAAAATAGGATTTTAGATCAAGAAAAAAGATGATCATTGCTAAGCTGGTCATTTTCAATGGTTGTTTACAATAAAGCAAATTAAAATATCACAATATTTGTTTTTAGAAAAGAAAATCAAGTTGTTCAAGGTCAAAACAAAGACCACCTTGCAGCTCCTCAGCTGGGGCCAACTTACACAGGGAAGAGTTCCTGAAAGCATCTGAAGTCCCAGCAGGAAGGCCGCTCGGCACAGGCACAGGCATAGGCACGGACTCAGCCTCAGCTTCATTCTCGTCCTCGTCCTCTGGGAGGCCAGTCTGCAGGCCTGAATACTGGCTGTCAGCACCGTCTAACACCTAGCAGCACCAAGGGGGTTTGAGCGGCACAGAGTGCATTAGACACACAGAGCATGCAGACACTTACTACACACACACACTGATGTGTGTGGACACTGCCCAGAGCATGTCAGCTCACACATTCCCTATAGTACAAAAGCAGTGATAGCTCCACAACTCCCAAGGAATTTCAATCTGAAACGTCTTTTAGATAAAAATGAAAAGATCCAAAGAAAAATATTTTCTTCGTAAGTAATATTACAGTATATTAGAATAAGCAAGAATTATAATTCCACACTGTTTTATATCCACTTGAAATCTGTGTAATAAACTTGAAAGAACTGAGCAACGGACTCTAAAAGGATTAGCAAACTGTTACTGGAATAATTTGATATAGCATTATTTTAAAATTCATTCCTGCCAGGGATAGAGCTCAGTGGCACAGTGCCTGCCTGGCAAGTGTGAGGTCGTGAGTTCAATTCCTGCTACAAAATAAATAAAACAAAAAAATTCACTAATTCCTCATTAAAAAAAAAAAAAAAGCTACATGCTCAAAAGCAACCGACAGGACATCTTCTGCTCCTACCCTTCAGAGTGTTTACATCCCCAAAGCTTAGCTGATCACCATGTTAAATTTAGTGAGCATTTTGTCCACGGTAATAAACCACACTGACCAGCTACCATGCCCTGTGCAGGACCACACATGCCTACACTGCAACACTTACCCAGTGCAGGCGGGAGACGCAGATGTAGAGGCCCTTCTGCCACTGGGTGTCCACAGAGGGGCAGCTCTAACCTAGCTCTGATCACTTCTCAGCAGCACTTGCTGCTATCTGTGGGTAGTGGCTAAAGCTGAAGGTCCATCGCACGTGGGGGACAGAGCAAGGCCAGAACATGGGGCCCCCAAGGTGAGCCAGGCAAACAAGTTGTCCCAGCCCCAAGAACACGGGGCACCCAAGGTAAGCGAGGTGAACAAGTTGTTGGGCAGAGAGGTTTCACCTGACATGAACCTGCTGCATGTATAAACAAACATGCTGTAGTCATTGGGCAGTTCTTTTCTTTACCAAGAGAGTGGGCTCAACCTGAACTCGGCTTTCTGCATTTTTGACTCCTGCCTTCATTCCTCCACCATCCTCCCCCCAGGAATTTCAAGAGCTGTGCTGGACACAGCAGCCATCTGCTATGAATTTATCCACCTGATGTGATTACTAGCATGTCCACCATCCTGCACAGGCATGCAAGCCCCGGAAGGGAAGACCTAACAGGTTTCACTATCAGTTTCATGAAAGCACAAGTTTGGCTACAATAAAGCTCTTGTATTGCCCTCTGCTTTTAGAACAATCTTGGAAACATAACAGGCACTCAGTAAATCTAATAAATAATTAGTATTTACATAAAGGATACTGAAAGCCTCATGAGCCAGAGCAACCCACACCAATGGCAGGCGGATCAGGGGAAGACACTTTGCTCCCTATGGCTCATGAGCTAAGAAGCTGCCTACTCACCATGTCCTGTCAAGCAGCTGTGCCAATTCAGGCACAAGGAGAAGACAGGCAAGGTGGGGCTAGAGCAGTATGTTGTATTCATCTTGCTACGCCTTGGAAATGCTTTGCATAATTTAAAATTTAGAAGCAAGTCAAGAAACAACCCCGCATGATGTCATTAAGAAAACACATTCAGGGGCTGGAGATTTAGCTCAGCGGCATAAGCGCCTGTCTTGCAAGCAGGCAGTTTTGTCTTTTGATAAAAAGACAAAAAAAAAAAAAAAAAAAAGAAGAAGAAAACACATTCAATGTTCATCCCAAAAATGCAAGCTTCCTTTTTCTTTAGTGGTACTGGGGACAGAATACGTGGCTTTCGCACTGAGCTGCTGCCTCCACTGTCAGCCATTTTTTTGTTTTCCCTAAATTGCTAAGCAGCCTAAGCTGGGCTCCAACTTGTGATCTTCCTACCTCAGTGTCATGTAATCTTTTTAAAGTGAAAATTGAGATGTAAGACCAATTCCATTTTGGGGTACAAAACAACTGAAGCAGGAAACAGGCCTGAGGCCCATCAGCACTGAAGGAAAAAAGAGTATGAGTATAACACAACAGTATCTTAGCCACAAAGAATGCAACATGGTGTCTGCAGGAAAATGGAGGAACTTGAGTCATTACTAAATGAAATGAGTCAGACACAGAAAATATACTATATTCTTTATATAAGCAACCTAAATTATAAACAAATGGGTAAATAAAATATAGGAGAGATGCTAGACTCCTGAGGATGGGGTCAGGATCAAGAGGAAATGAAGGGGAAAAGTAGTTGTGATTATAGGCATACTGAAAATGATCAAGTTCCAGTACATGCAGGTACCAGCTTCCTGACAAACATCACTCTTCTCTACTGCCACTGCACACTGGTGAAATCTGGGTCTTCACAGCAGCACTGTTCATAAGCTACAAGATGGAATCAACCCAAGTGTCCACTGACAGATATGTGGGTAAGCAAAATGATATCCATATATAACGGAGTATAATTCAGCCTTAAAAAGTTAAGAAATTTCTGGCAGGGGATGATGACATATGTTGTAATTCCAGCTACTTAGGAGGCTGATGCAGGAGGACCACAAGTTCAAAGCCAGCCAGAACTACTTGGCAAGACCTTGTATCAAAATAAAAAACAGGCTGGGAATGTAGCACAGTGGTACAGTAGTTGTCTAATATGCAACTGGACAGGGGTACTATTTAACAGTACTGTTAAAAAGGATAGGGGGATAGGAATCCTGCCACATGCCACAACATGAATAAGCCTTGAGGACATTATGCTAAGTGAAACAAACCAGTCATAGATGAACAAACACCCCATGATCCCACTTTTGTGAGGACCCTGGTCATGAACCTTTTAAAAGGCAGAGAAGAACAATGGTTTTCAGGGGCTAGAAGAAGGGGTGAAGTTAGTATTTTGAGGGACTGTGTTTCAGTTTAGAGGCGGAAAAGACTTAGAGATCGATGGTTCTAGGACATTTAATACCACTGAACTGAACACTGAAATGCAGTGATGTATGCCTATAATCCCAGCTACTGAAAAGGTTGAGGTAGAAGGGTCACAAGTTCAAGGCCAATCTGAGCAATTTCGTGAGACCCTGGCATAAAATAAATTTTAAAAGGCTTAAGGTTGTGTCTCACTGATAGAGCATTTGCCTAGCATGTAGAAGCCCCTGGATTCAATCCCCAGTACCTGCCCTCCCCGACATATACGGTTAAGATGTCCAAATTTGTTACATATATTTTACCACAATAAAAATGGGGAAAATTCAGAATATACTTGTACCAGACTTTCTGATCAGACAACTCTTGAGGTGTGTCCTGTCCACTCAGATCAGAGGAACTGAAATCCATGCTGTTTTAAATGGGATACATTTTAGATGCTTTCACAAAGTCTAAATGTGTTTTAAAAACTGAAGTATAAAAGACCACAGATCTGTATGAAGGCTCCTTAAGGATATCTCCAGTAAACAGGGCTCCATAGAACCTAAAAGAATATTCAGTGTACTCAGTTAATAGAAACCATCACCTCACTTTTGGTTAGTGTCTTGGTTCAACACAAAAGACACTAGGTTGTTTCCTGCAGCAAAGATATCAGGCCAGGATCTCTATCAAGTGATCTGAGTCACTGACTCTCACTGAGATTAGCAGGGACATAAAGGAAGAAAAAAATAAGCAGGAGGGTTCAGGCCTGGACCTCAGGAAAGAGGCAGGCCTCTCTGCAGAATGTCAGGGCCCCCTTGCCCACTTACTATTTCAGAGCTGTCAGAAGGGGTTATGGCTGAATCAGGCCCTTCAGTAGTGGTCTGGGAGCTGTCACTGATGGGTGAGGAGGCCTGGGTTCCATCGTTCAGGTCTATGGCAGCGTCAGACGGCACAGCACTGATTTGGCTGGAACTGTGGCTCAAGATGTCTTCTTCATCCCCATCGGTGGCAGCACTGGTCAAATCACAGCTGGAGAGATCCACAGAGTCTGCCTGCAGAGTGTGCTGTGACCGGGGCTGTTCAGTGATGATGTCATGCCCCACAGACCCAGGTGTGGAGACCCCCGAGGCAGCGGCCAGCTCTCCACTGATCTCCCCCTTCACAGAGGCTAGAGACAAGGAACGGCCCAGTGGTCAGATGGCCAAATAAACATCCACAAGAGAAAGTATGCAGTGTAACAGAGAGCTCAGCACCATCAAATGTTCTAACTTCACAGGATGCATCCTTCAAATCTGACAACAGTACCCACAGCAGTAAGGTAGGGTAACCCACAGTTTTTAAATGCTACAAATATTCTCAAATAGTGTTTAACTGCCACACCCAAAGTTTAAGTACTTAAGTAACTACTCAGGCCATGGTTATCATAACAAAGTAAGGCTGGGCCAGCCTGACAAAGATGGGCACAAACTGAGTGGGCAGAAACACCCCAGAGCTCTATATAAGCAGTGTCAGAAACGGGAAAATTCATTGTCTCCTTGGGGTTCCCTGTACCTTCTTCCACATCCTGTTCAAGATCTCTAATCCAGTCCTATTGTCCTGCAGGACAAATATATACCACTTTTCCTGGTTTCACTTTGAACTTCCCATGAGAAAATAAAAATGCTGTGTAAAAACCACTTCACAATGATGGCCATCAGAAGCTGTGGGCAGTGTTCACTCTGAAGGACAACTAAGTCCAAGCACTTGAACTCCATATTGCCCAGGAAGGTGAAATTTTCTGTTGATAAGGTTTTAGCTTTTCTAATAAAAAAATCTACTAGTATTCTGTAAGATAAAGGATAAGTAATTACTTTTTTTGTCTTTTTGAGACAAGGTCTCTCTACGCAGTTTGGGCTGGCCTTGAGCTCACTTTGTAGCTCAAGCTGGTTCCAAACCTGCTATGATCCTACCTCAGCCTCCCCAATGCTAGGGCTACACCCATGTGTCACCACACCCAAACCTGGCTCAGATTGGTATTATTCCCACAGTCCTCCTCAGATAATCATGCTCTTGTTTTCATTTACCTAAAAATGTTCTTTTGGGTAATCACACATCTAAAACTATCCTAATTTAACCTAGGTATTAGCATCTAGAGTCACCAACCATCTTTTATGAGTCCACAGATAACTTAATCAGGTAAGAATGTCCTGGGCAATGCTCCATGCCATTCCTCTCACTGTCACCCATCTCAAGAAGGAGATGGCCCCACGCACCACCCAACTCACAGACACAAACCCAAGGAAAACACACAGACACACTGCTTTTAAGTCACGAGACAAAGTGGGCTGAATACTGATGTGTACATAGGCTGCTCCACTGTCTCCTCCCCAGGGCTGTCTACTGGTTGATGTGCCGAGCAGAGGTGGGAAACAGGATGGGAGCAAGAGTGACAGCAGCCGCTCACTACCTGCAAAGGCCGAGCTGCTGGTGTCTGACCTCGATTCAGAGTCATCCTCCAAGGCTTCCTCCTCTCCTAAGAGCACTTTCCCTAGTGAATAATGCAGCGATAGTCCTCTTAAGTTGGCTAAAGATACAACTTTAAAAGATAAGTACTTATTTAAAAATTAAACAAGTGTACATTCTAAATTGAAACTCATGAGCAGATTTAGCTGCACAGTTTATCAATATGCAATCTTTATACTTTCAAGGTTAAACACAAAGAATACAGAAATATTACATCAGAACACCATTAAAATCAATCAACTTATATGAAAGTTAAAGGCAATGATTCTCTAACAATAATGCGAAATATATTAATATTTAAAATTTATAATTTAATTATTACTGCTAAATAATTTATACCAGTATTCAACTTAAAGATGGTACATTATAACAGAAAAGATCCAATTCTATTAACCCTGGGGTATTCGTGAATTATCTCCAATCAGAATGTATATAAAAAACTCAAAGAAAAGTCACTTTCATTTCATTATCTTTTAGTTTCCAAACTCTGTTAACAGTCAGAACTCTAGTGCTAGGGTCTGAGAGGCTTAAATAATATTTTATTTGCAAAGTTTCTAAAATATATTTTAAAGTCCATATTCAAAATTGTATCAGAAGAAAAGAAACTAATAAAACATAAATGAAACTACAGAGTGACTAAATAACAGGGCTTTTTGTTAAAGCCAGAAGCAGCAGTGCATGCCCATCAGCCCAAATGTTCTGGAGGCTGAGGAAAGGATCATGAGTTTGAGGATAGATCCTAGTCAGAAAAAACAAACAAACAAACAAACCCTTAGTGATTTGAGAAATCCTATCAAAGGGATCCACCACAGTGAATTTCAATCTTTTTTTTCCTCCACCAGATACTGAGAGTTGCATCTAAGGAGCTGAGCCCATCACCAGCTCTTTTTTTGTTTTGTGATGGCTGGTCTCGAACCTGGGATCCTCCTGCATCAGCTCCCTGAACAGCTGCACCACCAGACTTGCATGTGGTATATTCAGATCTTAATGAAAGTAGACCCTACCTCCAAATCAGTGTTTTTCAAATATGTTCCATATGTCCAAGCCGGGAAGGGCCCTCAAGAGGACAAGGGCAGGCCTGCCACCAGAGAACAGACTCCAAGCTACCCCCCCACAGCTTTACCCAAAAGGATTCTGCTTTTACCTCTCTTCTGTACAGGCAGATTTCACTTGGGGGAAAAAAGATTTTGCAGCTACAAAAGTAAGTGTGAAAATCACAGCTCTAAACAAACAAACAAAAAACCTGAAAAAATTAAGGATTGTGGAAACACACTTTGTGCAGAACGGACTACAGAACTCATCTAACAACGTCAGTCAGTCTTTTCATCATCTCAAGAAAACTAAGAAACAAATGAGATATCAAAGCAACTTCAGTATATATCCACAAATGCTCCTAACAAGACCATAAAGATGAATTTTCTGAGAATCTCTAGCCTTTGAAAATTTCAATGTTTCTCTAAAATCTCAAACTCAATTAACTATTCCAGGTATGGTGCTCCATATCATGCTTTCTGGGGGTCTCACTATGTTGCCAGGCTGGTCTCAAATTCCTAGGCTCAAATGATTCTCTTGCCTCAGGCTCCTAAGCAGCTGGGACTACAGATGCATGTCACCACACCCAGCTTACAAATGTTTCTAACTCTTAAATTCTTCCAGGAAATGCTTTCCACCTTCGTAAAGACAAGGATGCTATTCCTGTTAAGATCCAGTTCAAAACATGAAACACTTGAAATAGGATAGTAAAATGGGTCTTTCAAGATTTCAAAACAAAAAATAACAGTAATTCTTTTCTATGGAAATTTCACTATGGAAAAGAAAATAACTGGTGATATAAACTGATAATATAAAGGAAAAGGACACAGACATTCCTCATTTAACAACTGTGTTCTGTTCCTCTGAGTAAGTCATTAAATGAATTGGTTGTTAAATGAGGAGTTATGTACAGTACGTACCTTACAATATTTAGAACAAAGAAATAGTCCAAGGAAACAAAAACTTGCACACTTTGCTTTGATTTGCATAACTCTTACAATGCATTATGTAACATTTAACAGAACATAAAACTATAATATTGCACTGTACACTACCATCAGCAACAGTTGGTACTGTATAAACAAGGTGTGCTGTGTAAAAAAAGGACATCAAGGCTTAAAAAACAAGATGTACAAAACTGAACCAAAACAACAAAAACAAAAACAAAACAAAAAAACAGCTTGTAAGGCAAAGCAGCCGGCTCTAAGTCCAAATAGCACCTCAGTTGCAACTAAGTCCAAACAGTTGTTAAACAGGCAGGTCATTAAAAGAGGAATAGCTCTATCAGAAACACATTAATACACATAAATTAATGGTACACTTTGATTAGAATAGTCAAACATGACTGAAAAATGATAACCAGGGCTAAATTAAATTTACCGGCTACTTAATAATATTCCTGACTTAACACAATTCTTTAGGAAGGTAAGTCACCCTTATGCAGGAGCAGGCCCACTTGTATCTGTAAGTGAGCTATGCTGGAACAGACATGCCCAGATCTTATTGGCTGCCGTCCAGCCACCACTCAGTGGAATAGTATGAAAAAGACCATGCAGCCCATATGCTAAAACATCTACTCAGTAGCCTTCATGGAAGTCTGCTAATCCATGACAGTAAGCATTAGAAATTTATGACCAAGCAAATCTGACACACACAGAAGCCATTTTGAAAAAGGTACCTTACATAACTTCACACGTAGTTCAGTGTCCAGCAATATTCAACCATATAGTCACAATAGTGGGAAGAAATGTAGTCCAAAGCATAAGGGAAATACAGAAAAAGCAATCTGATCCAACATAAAGTTGCAGATTTCAAAAATAATTACCTTTTTGTTTTCTTGAAAGGCCAGGACTGCAAGAACCCCCTCCAGCTGTAACCACAGAAAGGGACAGATCAAAAAAAGGTGACAAGCTGTTAAAATCAGAAGAAATCTGAACATCTTCAAAAAGCTTAACCCAACTTTAAGGAAAATGTCAACACATTTCTATAGGAAGTACTTAAATGCCATAGTGCAACATCTTTTAATTTCAATGTGAAAATTACATTAACATTCAAATATGTAGTTTTGAAGATGGAACTGAAATGCTGACAGGGCTATAACAGATTGCATTTTAACAGCCAAATAAAAATAGTACAGATCTCAGATTATTTGATCAACTAATAATCAAGTAGTGAAAGGGTTTTGGCCCAGACAGGACACTGTAGCCTGGAAAGCCACAACCGGAAGCAGGAAGCCCCATCTCTCCTGCCCCTAGGAAGTTACCTGTGAAATCATCTTCCCGCCCCTGGAAATTTACATATGGCGCCAAACCTAGGACCAATGGGCTACCTGTGTATCCCTAATGCCCGCCTTAGGTTCCACCCCAAACCGAGGCTATTTACAGGCCCCCACGCCAAGTGTCCTCCGGAGAGATCGACGGATGCCAGCGGTGGGGGTGCCGGTCATCTCTCTCCATGTTCTCAGAATAAAGGCCGCTTGGACTCCGGGAGAACATGGCGGACAGACAACAGCAACTACCGAAGGCTCTCTGAAAGGCTCGGCTCAGAGGCCAGGAATGATGCGGACTAAGGAGACACGAACCAGTAGAGATATGCTCTGCTGACTCAGGAACGAACTGGACTGAGAGAAACCAACTTAGAATACAGTCCTGGCGCTAAAATAGGAACAGAAAAGACTCGGTGTAGAGGCTCGACCCCGCGCCATTGGAAACCGCGATTTGGGTTTCCCGCCGCCCGGCGGCTGGCTGCCTCCACAGCGGCTCGGCAAGGAGAGACGCGCCGAGCTCTGGGAACGGGAGTCTGCGAACGGAGTCGAAAACAGGACGGACAAGGAGGCGTACACGAAAACTGACTGGTGGCGAGGTGAGTGAGAAACTGACCCCCTACCACAGTTTGACTCCAGCGGAGGTCTTTCTGGGCTCAGGCAGTCCTGTAAGAGCAGGGCGCGGTGGCAACTCCAGCCACACATTCCCCTCTCAGACGGGATTGGTGAAAAGTGCCTGGCCTGAGTGACGCTGCTGGCGGACTCCCTAGGCTGGCCTAACCCAGATCCCAGAGCCTGACGGTGGCCCGGAGGAGCGACTGACTCCCGCGTAGGCTGCCTCCTCCGCAACTCCCTGGTGCGCAGTGGTGGGCAGGAACAACTAGCCAGCGCAATTTGATCAGGCTGTGGCTGACAGGCAGGGAAGCCAGGCCTCCTATGTAAGCTTGCATTTTATAAGGAACAGAAAATATGGGGAAGGGAAGCAACAAAAAAGGCTCCTCGGCCCCCAATTCTGAGAATCAGGCAATAGTGGACACCGCACCAATATACATTAAGCGCCATATTGAGAGCCTCATAGACCAATTCAGGAATGAAGTTATCAATGACCTGAAGCTAGAAGTATGCAGAATAGTTAGAGAAATGCTAAGCACCACCCAGGAAAAAACAGATGGTGGAATGGAAGAACAGAAAAAGAGGGGAGAATTGCTTGATGGAGAAAACAGAGAAAGCATTGAGTATGTGAAGCAGGTTCAAAGGGACTATCAAGAAATTAAGAAGTCTATCCAAGACTGGCATAACAGCTTGAAAGAAACTAAGGACAGACTATCTGAACTGGAGGGCAGACTTGAAATATGGGAGAATGAAATGAAAAACTTCTTAAAAATAACAAAGAAACAAACAGCAATAATACAAAGACAAGAAGATGATAAGAGGAGCCATAACTTAAGGATTAAGAACATAAAAGAAGAAGTAGGGACACAAACAAGTGAACTACAAAAGCTACTCACAGAAATAATCCAGGAGAATTTTCCTAATTTAGCAAAAGGTAAAGATACTCAGATGTATGAGGCATACAGGACCCCAGCTACCTACAACCCTAACAGAGAAACACCCAGGCATATAATAATAAAAATTCCAGAAATCCAATACAAGAACAGAATATTAAAAGCTGTAAGAGACAAGAAACAGATCACTTACAAGGGAACACCCATCAGAATTACAGCAGATTTCTCTTCACAAACCATCAAATCATGAAGAGCATGGGGGGAAATAATTCAAGCTTTGAAAGATAATAATCTCCAGCCAAGATTGAGATATCCTGCACAACTGTCCCTGGAAATTGATGGAAAAACGAGGTGCTTCCAGGATAAAGAGGAACTGGGGGAATTTGCAACCACCAATTCAACCCTACAGAAAGTATTGCAGGATATTCTAAAAAAAGAAAAATACAAAGAACCCAGAAATAGTGGCGGGGAGGCAGAGAACAAAATGAAGAAGACAAACTGACAGCTACTGACAGAAAAAGAGCTCAACAGAAATGAGACAAAGAAGATTGGATGATAGGAACAGCTATTTTGGAGAAAATGACATCTTAATAGGTAATGCTGATTTGGTACCATCTTGTTTTGAAGTCTCATCTAGCTTTTGTCCTTCTGTCTCCAATGGTCTAAATAGGCTGTATCTTATTGGATTTTATTATGTACGATAGTATAAGCAAAAACCTTTTAAAGACAAGGAGATTATACAGAGACCATTGTTCATTTTCTGTTAGTCGATTCTAAATACTCTATAATGCTGTCATTCTCTTAAATGGTCTTACATTGTTTTGATATACTTAATGCTACAGTATATAAAGTTGTACTCAAGGACTTCAGGGAGGGAGTCAATATGGTAACTATTTTTGGGTCGGAAATATCTGGTGGTGAAACACTATTCTGCTTAAATGGTTATGTTTTGATCTGCCCTGTTTCGCTGTTATGCCCTCTTTTTTCTCAATCTCCACTCCATTATTTACTTTTTAATTTTTATCCATTTAATTAAAGGGAAAAATATAGCAGGATATAATATAGTAACCCACTTTGACTTTCTATTATCTCGATTTGAAGCCCTGTATTACTCTCACCATCTTGTTTTTGACTGAGGTTCCTCTATTCTGTTTTGCTGGATAGTATCAGGTTCGAAAGTTTAGGCATCAGCTGAGAAGATAATGAGATTCATTATAATGCCCATTCTCGTTGACTTTTATCTACTTTTGAAGACCTACAATATCTCCAATGTTTTGGTTTTGTCGGTTTTATTCTTTACGGTTTTGTTCAATTGTATTACAACTAATGATATAGGCAATTCTATTAGAAATAGCGGGAGGCATTATGGTAACCATTGTTGATCACCTTGTATTATGTTTTTATATTATCTATTATATCCACCCTTTTGACTTGACTGATTCTGTTCTGTTATGTCACATTTGGTTTTACTCTCTTCCAAAAAAGCAATAAGAACCGTGGGAGCAATGAAACCCAAAATGTGTAATAGTCACTGTACAAAAGAGAGGAAAAGAAAGTACTCTAAACTATATAACTGCATGTATATTTAAATGTATAAGATAGAAAATGATATCACAGAGTTTTATTGGATCATTGAACAGAACTGTTTGCAGTATCATTGTTGGAATGTCCACTCTACAAGCTTTAATTTTGTGACTTGAACAATTATTTCTAAGATGGCAATATGTAATCCATTAACTAGTGATTTCCTACTGCGCATTCTTTTCTTCTGTAAATCTGTATAACTTGTACCCTTTCACTGTTTTTTATTTTTCTTTTCTTTTCTCCTTAAATAAAAAAAAAAGAAAAAAAAAAGAATAAAGGCCGCTTTTTATTTTATATTTCTCATCTTTTGTTAATATTTTTCATCTTTTGGGAATAACCCTAGCATTTGGTGCCGTGATTCGATCGGCAGGCAATAGACTCCTGGGACACACCCAGTTGAGTCCCCTAGCCGATAACCAGGTAACATCCTGGATTAATCCTGAGCTTTTTCCTCTCCCAAGACGTTCCTGTCACCAGCCGCCTGCACTCAGCATCGGCCAGACTGATTTCAGTGAGCACTCCCCGAGGAACTTTTGGTACTGGGCAGCCCCAGTCAACTGTTCTCCCTGTCTTCGGGGGTCTGTGCATTTTCACGTCCTTAGGACCACCCAGGGCAGGGTTCTTTCTGGGCAAACCTGTGTCCACAAAATCTCTCACGTTCTTTGGGTTCGGATAGCCCAAAGCAGAGATTTTTGGGACCGCCCACACTGAAAGAATGCCTCACTTCCCTTAAAGCCTTGCGCTTTCATGGGCAAAACTGTTACTGACCCCACGCAGGCTCCACTCCTAAATCTCTCAGTGACGACTGGAATTTACGAGTTTTTGGAACCGTAGCCGCCGCAGGGTGCCACAAATAAGTGACGACTTGTTCTGGACCTCCGGTTTTTTTCTTGCCTGAATCAGTCATGGAGAATGTATTTTCTAACTCCCAAAAGACGCCTTTACAATGCCTAATTTCCAATTTACGTACTCTAAAAATTAAAGTTACCATAAAAACTAAACAACCTTTTACTGCCAGGAGGTCTGGCCAACCTACTCGCTTATCAGCAAGCCTTGGCCCCAACAAGGAACATTTGACCCCTGCATTCTCAGGAACTTGTATGATGTTTGTCAAGCTGGCAACAAGTTATTAGAACTCCCTTATGTCCAGGCCTTTCTTGTTCTGAGAACATGCCAGTCTCTCATTAAGTCTTGTGCTCCTGCTGAGATACTTTTAGCTAACTCTACCGCGCCGCAAACTTTTCCGTCCTGCCCTCAGGATTCACTTGAGGACATTCCTCCAGTGTTTTCCCAGCCGCTGCCTGCCTACCACCAAATTCGTCCCCTGCAGTTACCTCCCGCCAGACCGCTCTCCCCTCCCCCATGCCTGATTCTCCCAGCAGCTCTAATCCCTCTCCATCGAAGATACCTCCCGCTGTGCAATCGTCTCCCTCTCTGCCTTCCGGGACCCATAACTCTCCCAGCAGCTTTAATCCCTCTGTTAGCGCTTCCTTGCAGTCTCCGACTTCCTCTCCTGAG